ATCAGCATAGCGAATATGCCCGGGTAATCACGAAATCTCAAAATCTACTCTTTCTCGGACACTGCATTTGAAGGCTAGAGGACAAGAATACAAGTGAAAGCGCGGTCAGATCAGCTCAAATTGTTCAATCATAGCTCTGCTGATGTCCACGCTCATGATGCATTTCCAAATTTTTCGTTTCTGATATCAAACGCAATAACAAAGTCTTATCATACCAGAAATTTGTCTTCATATTCACTTCTGCGTAAGTCCGATTTGCTTTCAGACAGGTGCGTGAGATCTGGGCAGTGGGGGAGGGACGCATGCACAAATTACTTGTTCGAGTCACCAGCCTAGTTGAAATTCATGGCATTTACTGCATAGAGATCTAATGTGAGCGATTTAGGCATGTCACAAAAAGTTGTTGTCTAGTAGAGCTTAATGACAGTTTTGATCTGTCGACCTCTTAAGGCAAGGTCCAGAACTGCCCATGCGCCAGCGCCGTCCCAGCACTGGGCAAGCACCGTGTCGTAACCCACGAGGATGCGTCCGGTATTGGTCGATAAACGTTCCAGCACGCCGCTAGCACGTCAAACGCACTGGATAGCTCCTTATCCTAATTTTTGCAACTAAGAGGTTGTGCCATCTTCAAAATCTAGCTTCGCTTTTCAACCTGTCCATCATCTATGAATGTCTGTTTCGTTAGCCCCACATAAAAGGTCCTTCTCTGGCGGGCTGTGGAGAAAAGCCACCAACGACCTGGCATTGCAACTTGAATTCCCCCTCCGCGCAATATCAAGCAACCTGATCAGAGAAGTGGTTTACCGAACAACTCACAGTCAGCATCTTATACGAAAGCCACTTCAAAAATGATTCTACTCGACATCACCCTAAAACCATTTGTATATTAATAATACTCTTTGTTATCATTTAAGTCCAGGATTGTTATGACTTTTCCAGGATGGGTCTCGTACTTATCATGATCCTGACCGAGGTGTTATCCTACTATCGAACCTGCAACTCTTTTCCTTATGAGATTTGCGTTGTTTATATTGATGATTTTCAGAAGAAGCGCGTCATCACATCCACTGAAAACTCCATGGACGTCATCGAAAAGAGTTTGCGGACATTGCAGTCGAGAAAACGGATGCAACGCTTCGTCATACTGATGCATCTTCTGTTGTAATTCTCTTCGGATGCCTATATCGTAAAGTCCTTTGCGATTTTTGTATAAATGTAAAGCATCTTCTTTGGTAATCGAGAATAAAGTGTTTGAATAGATATCATAGAATGCAAGTAAATAAAGGAAGTAAGACAGACACAAGAGACACGAATGACACAAATATGGTACTTCTATGAGAAACACTAGAAAAAGTGAAAAAGAGTCGAGACTTTTGTCTCCCGCACGACATCCCGAGATTGACCGTAGAATGTCTGTTGGAACACCTGGTTTTTCCCGGAAATTTTGTCCCAATACAAACACGGGTCCCCGCTTTTGCCTCGACCTTGATTTCGTATTTCGCGTGGACAATCCATGGGATCACACCATTTTGACCGAGTTGCGGGAGTCAACTGCGAATGTCTGAGTTATCTACTCAGACATCGGAAGCGGACGAGCCGCGGCCCATTACAGGCTGGAATTTCGCAGCCCCCGCGGGCCGGCCGGAGAATGGGCCTCGGCTCGGCCGGCGATAGGCCTCGGCTCGTCGTAATTTAGCCCCTCGGCTCGGCCGCAGCTGGTTTCCGGGCCGTCGGTGGTTCATTCTAGCCCAGCCTAAGTGGGCCTTGGTCCACCATTTATAGGGCTCCCCTTTGTCACTGAATCATATAGAATTTGGTGGCCTAAGCCGGACACAGATAACGGTAGAACCATCTTTTGTTTGTGGCACATGGTGGGGTACACAGTGAGGAACCAGGGATTGAATCATATAGAATTTGGTGGCCTAAGCCGGACACAGATAACGGTAGAACCATCTTTTGTTTACTGGCACATGGTGGGGTACACAGTGAGGAACCAGGGATTGAATCATAGAGAATTTGGTGGCCTAAGCCGGACACAGATAACGGTAGAACCATCTTTTGTTTACTGGCACATGGTGGGGTACACAGTGAGGAAGCAGGGATTGGGGCTGCCATATGGCGGCTTCGGGGGTCAGGTCCGGCTTCGCGGTTGGATAACTCCGGATGCTATCCAGGTCTACAAGACAACATATTGGTTTCCTGCCTGAAAGACTTGAACCACATCCAAGGCTATGGACATTGAGGGTGGCCTGACCATGCGTCGTACATCACCCAAGTATCCTTTACGCTAAGAGACTAGGAGCAGCCGCGCGGCCTTCATTTGACATAGGTCGCGGCTCAGTCGCTGCAGTGCTCCACCCCCATCATTAAGGCCGCGGCTGACCCGATAAGCCGTACTCAGCCCGCTGCTCGGCCGGAGAAGTGATATGGACATGAACGAAAGGTTGCGTCTCGGCCGCATTCCGGCCACGCCCTCAAATTAAGGCCGCGGACGGGCCGAAAAGGCCTTTTGAGGCCGCGGCTCGTCCGCTCCCAGTGTCTGCTCAGACGTTTTTTGCGGCCACCTGCGCGCTCACGGCAGGCTGGGCGAAAACCCGTTCCGGGCCTTGCCCTGCCATGGTAGCGCGGGCCAGCGACGGTTCCAGTGTGTGCAGCGACCCTGTTACCCGGACGAGCGGGCCAGCCTGTATTTCAATGTCTCCTTTGCCTTACGCGCGCCTGCATAGCAGAGCCACCCTAGGGCTGGGTTTCTGCTCGGCTGCACCTGCATGCGCAGGTAACCTCAAATGTAAATACAACCCATGTGAAGTCAAAAATAGTGGAAATCATTCCTGCTTCACTACTGATCGAACTACACGAGATTATTTGAAACCCCATCAACGGTCAACTCATAAGGAAACCTGTCGTCAGCCCAAATGCAAGTTTTGCATCATGCAAGTCCCGATGGCATCCCTTTCCATGCGCCGTATCACGCGCGAGTAACCCTTATGCTTACAGCGTGCGTCAATTCATATGGATGAACGGGTCGCTGTTAATTTCGGCATGCGTGGGTATGGGTGCGCGGGCCGCCAGCGAAATTATTAACCTAGACAGGCGTGCGGGCCACCGTCAGCATGGCATCAACTATGTGCGCGGGTCGCCAGCTCACACCTGTGGGCCGCTGCTGGGCCTGATGCATGTAAGGCTGATATTTAGGTGCCGCGGCTCAACAGCGAAGCCCAGTTGGACGACCGGGCAGGTGCAACAATTGTCTGAGTGAGTATATACAAACTGATACAAACGGAAAAGAGTAGGTTCTGTCAAAAGCAGCTATTAAAGTAACACCAGAGCTATTCACACAGAGTCCCACTATATTACGGCTCATCCACGAGTGAAGTCAGATATCTACTTGCGCTCAGTAATTGATGCAAAATTATCGGAACCTGCTTGACCAACGAAACATTTCGCGGGAAGAACGGGGGGGGGGGTGCATGGGCACTCATTAGGGTGGAAGAGTGGAAGAAAAATACTTGAAAACCGACAATTTTCGCAAGTGGAATGTGCTAGGAGAGACAAAATGATCACCAGTGTTCAAGACGCGGCCACCTCTCAGCTGCTTTTTAACTCACGCTCATCAGGTCACATTGGGTATCGGATTGAAAGCGGTAAAATGCACCTTGCGCAAAACTAGTGTAATATCCTTGACATGGGGCTTCTTTGTGTATTAGCCAGAGTGCACAAGAACTAAAGCTTACCGGTCGCTCTTCAGAGACAGGGCTCAGCACAGCTGGCACCGGGTCAAGCTGGATATCGTTTTTAGGGCGGAAAGCAAAGGGGATATCGTTTCCACAGGGGCCGAGGCGGAGAACTGCCGCAAAAATGCCGCCGGCATGCCACCGGCATGCCATTAGCAAGCTGTCCATCAACAAACAAAGGCGTTGTTTTCAGCCAAAACGCAATAGTATGACACCAAATTTGGTGTGTGCATGCGCGTTGGTGGACCGGAACTACAGGCGAAAAATTTATGAAAACTTATGTGAATGAAAGCTGTGCCCAACTTTTTTCTGAATTAGCTGGCACCGTGCCAGCTGGGTGCCAGCTGAGCTGGCACCGATACTTTGCTCACATAAGTTTTCATAATTTTTTACATAAAATGTATCTACACTGTAAAAGATTACATACGGAGAAGAAACAGCTTCATAATGTTCTCTTTTCAGCGTTTTATAGCAATTTGAAAACCACTTGGCCCGCTCCGCAGTCGAAAATTCGGCTTTTTCTGCTTCTCAATATGTGATTCGACCACTTAAAAAGCTCAGAAAGTTGTGAAAAGTTCTTTCATGAATCAGGAATGAACACTACTACATTTTACATAATATAAAAATGATGACGGGTTTTCAAAACAGGTCAAAAGGGACTTCGTACGAAATTTTCATTATCAAACGGGACTCGTTTTGAAATTTCCCTGGTGCCAGCTCGTGCCGAGCCCTGTTCAGAGATCATGCTATCAAATCATTTGCTGTCTGCTTTTCTTTCTGTGAACTGAGTTTGATTTTGATTGGCAGAACCCACCATTCTTACTTATGTCTTCAACCTTACGGTCCGCGAATAATAGCTTTGACTTCCAACCATTGAAGATGTGGAGAAAGAGAAAGAGAAAGAGAGAGAGATTCGCGTGAAAGTAATCGTAGCTACTACCAAAATCTTTATACGGAAGTTAGAAGAGGATCCAGCAAAGATGGCCGAACTCTTGGGTTATGCACTAGCATCACTGCGGTAACTCTCAACGGTGTTCCTTTATCAGTGAAAGATTCTGAACTGTGTATAGCTCCGCTGCCAAAGCCTTGTGAAGATTATCTGGTTATCTATCGTAAAAAAACCATCACGAATGAATAGATAAAACCGAGGCAACAGTTCGCCATGTGGAGTAAAATTTGCACATCTTTGACCATGAGGAAACAATCATAAACCCACACATTTTATATACAAATAGTTGATTATGCATACAAAGTTCGCAATATTATGGTATCAATGTTATTAGTATTGATTGCATAGACATAAATTCTGATTAACTAACAGACGGCTTATTCTTTATGCAAACGCATTTTTCACGTAGCTGGGAAAGGCCGTCTTCCGGAATTATAAAGTCGGGAGGCTGTCGACTTGGACTTGGCTCGTTCAACTGCTTAGAGCTTCGTTGAAGATCGGTGTACGACCACAGTCCCATGTATCTAGAAAAACTATTCTATAAGTCACTTGACTATAAAATGAAGTTAAATTTCAAAATCACTTTATGGTCAAGTTCTATCATCCCTGGTGAAGTAGCCCCTCCCCCTAGAGTTCAGCCTCATGAAAGTTCAGCCCCACAAAAGCTACTTTTCTAGTCCAATCCAAATTCTGCCAGAAACGAAGAGTGAAGCAATTTTCTTACCTGCTCTTTCCGTGGTAGGCGAACACGTAGAGATTATTAGTATCAACAACCTTCGTGTCACTTGTTGCGGGTTGCAGACTCGTCATATCCGCCTTTACAATAAGAAAACCGACCTGAATTCATATTCAGTTACTGTAACTCAAATTCCACAAACCCTCAATAATACTATGGCTCAAGCACCTCCAGCAACCGCATTTTCTTGGTTTCTATCTCTACTCGAATGGTTTTTCCGCTTACATGTAATAGTATTTAGACAATGGAAGTGACTGAGCTGAACGTTGAGGTGATGCCTGTTTTTATGTGTGTTTTATGCTCCTGTGTGAGCAAGCACCGCAGTCAAACTCATGGTCACGACATTAAGAATGACCATATGACCCACCAGTAGTGCCCAGTGAGCCCCATGCCCATTCCTCAGCGCTGGTTCGTGATTTTTGTCACAATCGTAAGGTATCAACAAGGCACAACCGTTCATCAGCAACTGCACCAATTCGTTGGGCTCGGGAAATGGCAAAACTTCTGCGTAGACAGGCCATAAAGCTCGCGACAGCTCGCACAACCAACTAGCTGGAACTCATATATTTTACACGATAGAAAAGCAAAAATATAGATTTTTACCTGAAAATATTTCCCCTTGAGCACTGATTCCAAGCTTTCTAGCTTTCTCAAAAATTTCAATAATTTCTATGCTTTTCAAGTGAAGGAGCCTGCTTGCCATGGAGAGTGCAACAAGGCCACATCTGAAAAAAATTTTTGAAGTACTCGCTAAAATCTATAAGAAAATATTATCATACTGAGGTCCTGACTGGGCAATAGGGTCGAGGGCCGAAATCCGCAAGTAGCCTCCTGGCAGTGAGGTAGAATCCAAATCCGCATGACGGGAGAGGACTTCCTCTATTCGTGATCGAACCAGAGGTGGAATCGAGCTAATTACATCTAACATCTGAAAGATTCTCGAGAACTTGGTGCTTTAGCAACAAGATAAGATGCGGACGTACAAGTTATTTGAATCTTTATATTGTTTTGCCTAAATTTCAGATGATTACGGTCATTTCTGACTATTAGACTCATAGAACATAGGTGTAAGCAGTATATGAGATAGACACTTGCACTGCCGACAACAAGTGCGCGAAAACAAAGCTCATGCTTGAATCGCGACAACTTTGTGAGTTGAAGTAACACATATTCTGATTCTTCCTAGTTTCCAAAGAATTAGCTTTCGAAAATGTAGCGAATTTCGAAGCAAACCGTAATTCCTCCTGGAGAACTCCATCATCTATGACTTAGTAATAACGGGCTAAGGGTTGTTTATGTCTGTTTGTCTGTTGTCTGTGTGTACGTCTGTCTGTCACGAAATTCATACAGCGAGTTCCAGCAAATGTCTTGAGCTGAATTTTTGGTCATAGCACCTTGCCAGCATCTAGGCCCATCATGCAAAATTTCGTACGGATCCGTTGCGTTGATGTTACAAAAATTGTGCGTCAAGCGGATCCACACAGCTCTAAGCAGGCAAAACTGAGTCCAGATTTGAATTTTTTGCAAAGCCATGATTTGCCTGACAAGTAAATTTGCGCCTCATGAATTCTAACCCAAAAAGGGCACAAAAAGTTTGCTTTTCTGCGAAAACAGCGCCAAAAAGTGGTGATCGTGTAGATAGTCGATTTGGCAAGGCTGTAACTTCAAATTTGAAAAGATTTTTGCACGGAAGTGTAGCCCAAAGTGACTACTATCCTCATGACGACTACCAAGCCGAAATAAATTCGATAATTCATTCAAATTCGCAGGTTTTCCTTTGCGAAAAAGATTTCTTTCTCAAAATTACCGATATTACGTGGAGATGCTTTAAGAATGAGCAGTTGTTTACAATTCATTTGTGATGTTCAGCATCGCGCGGTAAGTTTCAAAGTCATCATTATGCGAATATGAGAAAGGCATACGGATAGGAGTGCCAGTGCGAACCTCCGCGAAGCGGAGGTGATGCACTGGTAACTTATAATAACGGGCTAAGGGTTGTTTACGTTTGTCTGTCTGTATATCTGAATCTCTGTCAGTCACGAAATTCGTGGAGCGAGTTCCAACGAAGGTTTTGAGCTGATTTTTTGCACAGCGCCTGCTACCAACATGAGAGTCTACTATACAAAAGCACGAGCGGATCCATTGTGTGGATCCCTCAAAAAATGCGCGTCAACCGGATCCACTTGGCTTTTGGCCAGTAAAATTGAGTCTGTTGCGCAACTTTTTGCCAATTTAAGGATATTTTTGACATGTTAATGTGCAAGTCATGGTCTTTAGCCTAAAAAATTGAACTAAAGTTTATTACTTTGCGCAAACGGCGCCAAAAAGAATTGGTTGCGTAAATGTTCAATTTGCCAAGATTTTACCCGATGGTTTGAGAAGATTTTTGCACAGATATGTAGACCACGGTGATTGTGGCATCTTAACGCGAATATCAAGCCATGAAAAGTCCAAAAACCGACTCAAATCTGCATTTGTTCTTCCGAGAAAAGTTTCGTTTATGCGAAATTACCGATCTCATATGGAAAAGCTTTTGGAATGAATAGTTGTTTACAAATCATTCGTGATAGTCTGCATACGGCGGTGAGTTCCAATATCATTCATTATTGTGCGAGAATGAGTAAGGCATACAGATAGTAGGGCCAGTGCGAGCCTCTGCGAAGCAGAGGTGAAGCACTGGTAATTTTATATGGCCGAAAGATCTCATGGGATAGATAAATGTGAAAATGATCTCGTAGGATACAGAAATCTGGAAATGAGAATTTGCGACGTCCTTACGGAAGTCAGTACTCCAATCACAGAGCAAATTTTTCACTAGTTAGTTACATAGAAGCCGATATTTGCTTTCAAGTACTCTGATACTTTAAAATATCTATCTACGAAGCAAAAAAATGTAGAAAGTGTTAATATTTAATTGGATGAACCCTATCTTACTGTAGGAGATGTATGTTATGGAAAGAGAGAGGTACCCAGGTTCCGTTCGGGCCACATTTTAATAACACATTTAGGTAACTTTTAAAAATTTCGCGACTCATTTTCGGGGGAGGGGGGGGGGCTTGACAGTGATTGTTAGATATAGACATACTACTACGTCAGATTACTGCGCTTTTCCTTAGTTTAAAATCTGTCAGGGTCGTAGAGAAGAGCTCGAAAATTCTAGAACTAACTACCAAAGTCTATAAAATTTGGTTTGTTGAGCTTATTTTCACTTCTCAGCATTTCTTTAACTTAAAAAAATTGTATTCGTTCAATGTTTGTCCTTTCGCATTTTCAAAATCTTCAGAAAACATGCGCAACTAAAAACAGGGATAAAGAATGGTTCGCGTCAACAGGAACTGGAACATAATGTAACCCACTGGGGTCTTCAAACTTTTTCAAAAGTAAGGTTGGCCATACTTTGCCCATGTTGCTGATGTTGCCAGTGTTACTCGTGTTACTCATGTTACTCATGTCTTCAGTGTTACGCCTTTATTGCTGCTGACCATGAGGATTAAAATGACCTCCAGTACAGTCTCATTTTCTCGGACGACACCTCACCAATTGGTGAGTATTTGTACTACTACTGGTGCCGAATGCTGTTTTAAGTTCGGCAGTGGCTCGGGGAAAATTGCGACTACAAGCTTTCCACAATTACATGGCCTTCTGAATGCGCTGAGTTTATTCGGCATCAGTAGTAGTACAAATACTCACCAATTGGTGAAGTGTCGTCCGAGAAAATGAGACTGTACTGGAGGTCATTTTGATACTCAACAGCAATACAGGCGGTAACACTAGAAACATGAGTAACACGAGTAACACTGGTACATCGGCGACATGGGCAAAGCATGGCCAAAGCCTAATTGAAGAGATGTGTTCAGCTGAAAGAAAATGAAAATGGCTAACTGCTAATCGTGCGTGGTTTAGTTTCGATTCAAATGGTCCTTCTGTGAAGTTTATGAATCGCTGAATGGTTTGATATTACATGGAAGCAGAGGTGCGATAGATGGAGCCGGGCCCCCCCAAAAGTGAAGGTGGTTCCAGCTACCAAAGGCCAGCCAAAGTGAGGGTGGTAGTGTCGGACACTCACCTCCCAAAAACGTCGACCGGGGGGGGGGGGGAAGAGGAGAAAGCACAGCTCGACTTCTCTTTTCGCAAAAATTTCTTCCGCAAAAGTTTCATTAACTTCTTTACAATAAAAAGGAGAAATAAGAAGAACAAATTCAAAGGTTACTCAAAGCTATTTTTTTCGTTCAATTTACTTTTAGAAATTCGCCGTCGACTATAGCTATACTTTACGTATTCTATTAAGTAAATTCTATTATAACGTACTGCGAAGAAAGTAGGCCCAGGGAATAAGCGCCGAGAAACAGAATATAAATCCGGTGTTTGAAGATATCAGCAATTGCGACTTCATATGTTTTGAAGAGTAAATGGTGATCTATCAGAGAGTAAAAAAATCGAGTCCATTTGATAGTCGCCGAGAACCAGAATTCTTAAAAATTACGCCATTTTAGCGTGTTTAATGACAGCTGACAATTAAACTCATATAAAACTTGAATGTGAAAGTGCTTGATGTTGCGACTTCACAGGCTTAATACATTAAGGTTTGCCTTACCAGAATATATCTTAGCCGTACCGATCCATTGAGATACCGCCGAGATCAAGAGTCTTGAAAAAGCAGGTGGAAAAGCGCTTTTTGAACTTCAACAGCTCATAACTTCTTCAGAATTGCATGAGTCATATTGCGACTTCATAGGTGTTGGATTCTCCTTTTTAAGTGCTTTCAGATGATCTATAATTTATGGGGGTTCCGCGCCTCTCACAGCATATGCTCGGGGGTGGAGACCTTTAAGCCCGTATGCACGTACGTCCCCGCTGGGGAGGGGAGGGGAGCTGGATCCCCAGGGGAACGATCCCCTCCGCCGAACCCCGCCATGACAGAGGGGAGGGGAGCGATCCCCTCCCCTGCACCTAAGCGGGGATGGTGTGAATGGTTTCAGAGGTATTGATCGAGCGAACCCCAGTGCATACGGGGTTCGAATGGGAGAGGGGATCCCTTCCCTTCCGCCACTCGAACCCCGTATGCACGAATTCAACTCAATAACGCGGGGGAGGGGATCGGCATCCCCTGCAACGAAGTAGGGGTTCGATGGTGTAGATCATGCCAGAGACGCGGATATTCTGGTTCTGCTCAGTCATTACCAAGCATTTCGTTCATTTTGATGGAGGATTTTCTTTGAAAGCCGGGTTCTTCTCTCAGCGACCTGTGGCTTGCAATTTTTCTTTCTTTTCTATATTCGCCTCTTAAGAAGAAATCGGAGCAACAATAGCTGCCAATTTCGATTATTTGTAGGAGTTCTTGATCATTCAGGAAATTTGCGCATTTTTCATATAACATAATAGTTTTAACTATATAGGCTGAGTAAACACATTGTAACTTTCATATTTTATGACATGTTGCCATTATCTGTTATCTTATATATAAAGCTGAATGTCTGTCTGTCTGTATGTCTGTCTGTCTGTCTGTCTGTCTGTACGTATGTGCGGAATAGAAATTTTTATTTCTGAACCGATTTGGACCAAACTTGGCACACATATACTTCGGGGCAGGGAGCGTGTCATAGGCTACTTTTCGTTATCGATCGATATCGATTTTATCGATTTTTTGCAAAATTTGAGCTACGGGGCTGGGAGTTGGCACAGGGGGGTAATCGAGCATGCTGATTACGAATATAATAATGACAGGGCCGGGCGGAGCCGGGTTTGCCAGCTAGTTTTAACATAAGCTGCCTCGAAAAAATCTAGAAAGTAGCATATTTGCCTATTTCTGAGTAGAAATCCCCTGGGGAGTGATCCCCTGGGGAGTGATCCTCTCCCCAGCGTTCCCCTTGTGCATAGCAGGGATCGCTGCTGGGGATCATTCCCCTGGGACAAAGGACGATATGCAGCTGATAGCTACAGCGTTTATGGAGAGCTGGCACAATTTGCAGCTTCTGTTATGTGTTAGAATACTGCTTTGAGCGTCCGCGCGGCACCCCCCCCCCCTTTTCGGCGGCATAACGTCTTCTACCCATTCCCTTGCAGAGACACATCAACTTCTATAGTTCAACATTTTTACGCTGAAATGGAGCAGCATGAGCGAAAGTGGGCAGCATCCAAGAAAGAGGGAACATAATGGGAGTACAAAAAATCATTTTTAGTGCCCCGAGCCCAGTCACTGCATACGCGCATTCCGCAACCCTAAATTAATGAAAGTGAGGAGATGAAGATGAGTTGCAGTCAAAATATGAAATAAGAAAGTGTTTTTCATAGAAAATTTGAAAGCAAGGTGATTTCCCCGCTTGATCCCCTCTTGTGCATAAGAGGGTTCACTTCCACTCCCCACAGGGGATCCCTTGTCCGATATTGTCTTTATGCATAAGGATGTTCGCGCGGGGAGGGGAGGGGATCCCCAGCGGGGATCATTTCAATGGTTAAGCGCACATCCCCTCCCCGCGGGGATGTACGTGCATACGGGCCTTAATCACAAAGTCTCCACTGGCGGCCTCCAGCCAATACATTAACATGGGCGAGGTGGAGACTTTGGTATGAAAAGCCTCCATCCCGGGTTAGAGCCGCAAAAATCATCGAACCCCCAACATATTATATATCATCTGAAAGCTCTTGAAGAGGAGAATCTATGAAGTCGCAACATGATTCATGCAATTTTGAAGAAGTTATGAGCTGTTGAAATTCAAAAACCCGTTTTTTACCTCTTTTTTTATGAGCCTGAATCTCGGCGGCATTTCAATGGATCGGTACGACTAAAACATAGTCTGATAGAGCAATCCCTACTCTATAAAACCTATGAAGTCGCAACATTGCACACCTTCACATTTCAGATATAGGAGTCTAAACGTCAGCTGTACCTAGATAATCTGAAATCGCTTAATTTTTCCAAAATTCTCGTTCTCGTTCTCGGCCACTGCTCAAATCGACCTAATCCTTTCACTATCTGGTAGAGCAAGACCTGTCCTTCAAAACCTATGAAGTCGCATTTGCTGACATCTTCACCACCAGATTTATGACAGTGGAAATTTCGCATGATTTTACGTCATTTTATCTCGAAATTCTGGTTCTCGGCGGTTACTGCCTAGATCGACCTACTACATAGATATATGCTCTCAATACTTTCTTTGCGTTCCTTTTGCTTATTTTCCTTCTTTAAATTAGCAAAAAAAATTTTTCAAACGCAAAAGTGAAGGTGATCACCCTGTACCAGCTCAAAAGTGAAGGTAGGCGGAGACTCGGCTCCGACTATCGCACTTCTGCATGAAAGTTTAAGCTCACTGTGATAGTACTACCTTGATCGCAGGCATCAAGATTGTCCATCCACCAAATGAGAGAGAGAGAGAGAGAGAGAGAGAGAGAGAGAGAGTTCAAAAAGGTATGCAGTGAAAAAACCCTCTACTAACGGATCGAGAGGTCGCATGTAATGGCAAAACCTAATTTAGCTCCAAAAAAAGACGCCCTTCTCTGCTTTACACGGAACTGAGGTCTTGGCCAAACAATCTTGACGCGTTATGGTGACGTGACAGTGAGGGCGCGGCTTGAATTTCGCGTGAGTGTCACTTGCTAGTAATCCATCGCTTGGAGCACATTGCTTAGTTTCCTGCAAGTTCATTTTCTTTTGCTAGCCCCTCTAAACTTTTTGTAGTCAAAGTCCGGTTATTTCTTATCTCGACTATGAACCAGTAAGAAAACGTGCTACATTGCAGCGCGCTTCGGGACCGCACCGCGGTTACCCGCTATTTGCAGATTTTTGAACTGAGTTAACGATTCTTTATATCGTCGATGAGTTAACGATTCTTTATATCGTCGATTCGTTGAGGACTGGGCATAACCACGGAGCACGCGCCGCGAAGTAAAACGCTTGCTCCAATACAAACTCGCCATTGTTGAAATCGTGCTCTCGCAACATTTTAACCGCGCCGCGCGTGGTTCGCAGTGGTTGAGCAGTCCGTACGGCCAATGAATCGACGATATATTATATAGATAGATTAGATTAGATAGATAGATATGCGCAAAATTACAACTACACATTTTGCGCGTCTCATCCTGAGTTTTGCTGACCGCGGGGACGCACTTCCTGTTGTAAGTGCTTCCCAGTCTCCATCTCATTTTAAGAATGCAGAAAAGAACATCCCTGAGGACGCTTAAGAACAGTGTAAAATGGCCAGCATTCGGGACCCTTTTGCCGCGGACGACGCTCCTATTGTTACTCCTGCTCGCTTCTATATTCTGCTAGAAGAAAATATATACTGCATATCAAATGCAAAAGATGACTGTAATAGCTTAGCCATCGATGTAGAGTGGATTTTGTGGTCACTTTTGAGTCGCATGCGTAAACGGGCGCCGCGTAACTTTCTCAGCTTAAATGTACTCGATCGATCTTGATGAGTACAGAAGATGAAGAGAGCGTACAGCGCGCTTATTTGGCTTGTAATCAATCACGCTTAGATACCACTCCCAGGAATCCGTAAGGAAAAGGCCTGTATCTATCTCTAATTTGTTTCTTAAAAAACAATAAAAGAGAATGTTATTTAAGATACAAGGATTAGGAGTCGTAGGAGCCATATAAAAATAAGACTAGTCAACTTGGCGCTTGCAATGCTTCATGGCCCCTTCATTACAACTTCGAGCTTGAGCGGAAAGTGTGCTCCCATCGAAGATTGCGCAGCAAATCGTTTTCAGGCGCGTTGTCGTGCCCAATCATTCCTCACTCATTTTTTAAATTAGGTTTGGCTTTCGGCATTCGACTCCTGTTTATCAGTACTTGTGCTTCGTCTTTTAGCTGAAGTAAAGCGTTTAAGCATCGTATATTACAGAAGATGAATGGAAGACCGGATGATCGTAGAGGGTATATCTCACAGCCTTGGGAGCGTTCACCGGGACGGTAAGTTTCTATTTCTTTCATTCAACCGATGACGATGTTAGTGGAAAGTCTCATAAAACATTATTGGTAGACTGGTTGCTGCGCAAAGAAATCAATTGAGTATCTCTCAGCATCTTTAGGACAACGAATCCGTTTTTCACCCTTTTCTTTTGTACACTAGAAGATAACTTGTAAAGATTTTGCCACCAATTATTTAATGTGATAGCATCAGTTTTAGTAAGGCCCACCCATTCAAAATTGATTCATCATACCGGTTCTTCTGGATCGCTTAGTTGATTCAGTGTGAAGCTCCATACGAGTGTCGAAAAAATATGTCTAAATAGGTTGTTCGGGATTAATGTCGCATTCCATCCTACCGCGGCAAGGCATACACGATGAAAAATGAGTTGGGTATCATTGGATAGACCAAAGTTAACTCTACAAGATGGATTAGAAACATTCGCGAAAACTTTGTTCCACTTGAAGTTTGAAGTCAGGATATAGAAACTTCAAATACCCTGAAAATCGCATCTACGTCCACAAAATTCTTAAGGATCTCCGGTTTGCAAAGCCATGTATGATTTTTTTAAAATCGTGACGACGAGTTGACTGCGATCTTTCCGCACACAGGAGGGTAAAACACCCATACAAACCGGCAGCACTTCATCACTAAGCTCAGTCACACTGCCTGAATACTATCATATATAAGCAGAAAAACTATTTGAGTAGAGATAGAAACCAAGAAATTGATGTGCGTGCGTGTTGCGTGCGGTCGCGCCATCGTCGCGATTTTTCGAATGCCCTTTATATACTCTCCGCACCAGACAATCACGCATACAGTTTGTGGATTATAGATAGAATATGAGAAACACAGATAATTCAAAGGTGCAAATATGTCGCGTCTTTCGGTTTTTGTTGTGATAAAGTTGATATTTCTCGAAAACTAGCCATTATAGGAAGTTGAAAATCTATGGTTATACCTTCACAAGATGATACTATAGAATTATCTATCTGAGAGACTCTCAGAATTACTTTGGAAAAGCACGCCAAACTTCGTGCTTGATTTCTACCCATGGGTACTGATTCGCGTGCGGGTGTCGTTGTAGAGGAAGTGTGCTTAAGCAAGTTGAGGGTCTCTAAGATTTTTTTTGTACGAAAATACGATTTTTTATGCGCTAGAGCTTTTTGCACTTTGGCACTCTAAGGTAATCAGATTCGTTGCGAATATTCGAGTTTCCTGTAGAGCTTGCTTTGCTCTATCCAACAGTACCTCTTTCACATTTGTTCGTGTCAATCGTACATCGTTGCCGCGCGAGAACCGATGATGCGACATCATTTCCGATAACCTTATTTAAATCCCGTTATTGATTTCTCTCTTTTTTCATTTTTCAACATGTATTTCGCCACCAAAACACGCTGTTATGAACGAACGAGTTGAATTTCATTCACCGAGCTATTCAGATCAAATCTGTTGCGCAAATTGATTTGGATGCATCGCATGCACTGGTTGGAATGAGTAATGATAGGGAGCTCATCAAGCTGTAAATTTTCGTTTGGAGTACAATTTTACAATTCGCAAAGCTTTCCAGAAAATTTGGGTTGGGTCCATCTTCCCGTGGTGGGCACTGACGCAATTGATATTGTTAGCGTTTGTCGTTCGGCCGCTGTCTCTCCGGAAAATTCAGTTTTTGCGAAGCATTTGCTCTTGGATGGCTTGCTCAAGTTTTCTGTATTATAGACCTTTGATTTTGTAGGTTCCACTGTTGAGTTCTCTTCATACTCAAGGGATGGTGGGTACTGACGTAATGATAATTGTTAGAGTTTGTCATTCGGCCGCTATCACATTATGCGTAGTGACTCAATATTGAGCGACTCCTCCCACCCCCCCCCCCCTCACGGGGTCAGAGTACAGTTCTTGCATCGTAGCACATTTCAACCTAGCTAGTCCTTTTCCCTTCAATGCCTTTAGTCATGTCTCCTTGCAGCAATGTAAGACGCCATCGTTCGCGCTCACGTGGGCGCGATCACAGACGGCGAGCACCCTCTCCCTTCGTACCTCCGCATATGCGATCCGCTGATAAGGTAAATTATTTCTTTGCTTTTGAAGAAACCTTTCGCCGTTGAGTTTAAGCTGCTTTACAGATAAGGAACGGCCCTGATGGAGCGAGAGGAATGTTCATGGGAAACGGTGATGTTGGCCATTATGAGCGAGATAGAATGGACGCGGAGCGTTATTCTTCTCGGTGAGTTCGCCAGCGATTTTTGGTTGATAATTTCAGAAACAAAAGCTGGGAGTTCTGCAACACTTTCAATCGTTCACCTCGTCGTTTTGCTCCCTCGTATTATGATGATTCATTCAATTTCTCAACACTCTTGCATTACAGTAGTATGCCGCCGATGCCACCCGATGATTGCGTTCGTGAGGGCATTGTATTCGAATATGACAACTACTTTGAGGTGCGATTATTCTGCCGTTTGTGTTGCATGTGTTCAGCGTTTTCTTCTTCATCCTTTGTTCTCCTCTCGTCATTCGCAGCCTCCAACAAGGATGCAGATAATGTATAGTTTATGAAACGGCAGAGTATGAGTAAAGGTGTAACCGGAGCGGTGAAACTTCGTGAAGATTTTTTTGGTTTAGTTTTTGAAGACATGGTTGGAAACGAGCAATGCGATGCTTCTGAGAGTGAACTCATCTGCGCAACCCAAGCGAGTTGAAGACAACGTTACGCGTGAGTCTTCTCCTATCTCTTCCCCGCTCATGCCTTGCATCATTTCTACCTACCACGTATGGTGTAGTATCTCTTTTCTTCATATTCATAGACTAATGAAGTCTTTGTCTAAGTGTGATTAGTGAGGAATTAGGTTCACCTTGCTTCTCACTTTTTGGTCCAACAAGTTTGGTAGTGAAATACGCACTTCTTCTTTCGTCGGACCCAGGCTTGGCACAGGTGGCTTGTAAGCAAGCTGGATATCGTTTTTCGAACAGAAAGCAAAGGGGGTTTTGTTTTTAAGACGAAAAGACACAAAAATTGCGACGTTTTTTTAGTCGACGTTTCGTTTTTGGAGATTTTTTAGGGATTATGGTGGAGGGTTAAAGGGGACCGTAAAAATTCGCACAAATCAAGGGGGACTTCGTTTTTGCATCTTCAACTAGCCACTTCGTGCCGAGCCCTGGTCGTACCTCATTAGCACCAGCTCTTGTTTCACGAATGGTCTTTTCATTGTTGACCTTTCTTTTTTGCAGCGACCACGTTAGCAGAGAAATCGCGCATTATTCTCCCTGCTGGACTTTTCAACAGAGATGATCTCCTGCATTGTGACATGGTAATAAAGGGTTTGCCTCCAAGTGTGTTTTTTGGGAGCGGTTTTGGTCACAGGTACGTTAATTATACACCAAGTCATGTCTGTTTCTAACTTTTTTTAGACCTTCCTTCGCTAGAGATGCAGCTGCTAAAGATCTTGTTGACAAATGTTGCCGTGTTGGATTGATCACTGAAGCTTTACATGCCTCCATAGGGAATCATCCGTATTTCAATAAGGTAACTTTGTAGACGTGGATGCTTTTTTGCAATAAAATGAAGGCTTTTAAGGCTGACCTTCCCAAAGAAGACTATAATCTAGCAATTGACGCAATTATTGAGCTCGACAAAAGGATGTGCGAAGGTGAGAAAGTGTCTAATTTAGTAAAGTCGCAGTCCAGAAAAGTGTTATATCATACAGCTCCATGGCCTTGGGATATCTATTCAGCCAGAGAAGTGGAGCAGGATGTACTGGATAGGTTGAAAATAGTGTTTGATTCGGTAAGATCTATGTGAATAAGCGGTTTTTCTTTTGTTAAATCTCCTGGCATAAATGCGTTTCTTGCAACAGGTGATGGAAACTATATATCTCCGTAATCAACAGCCTAGCGAACCTCCTAGGATTTGGAATGGTCCGGTGAGTTATTTTTTTAGCTGGATCCTACAAGCGTTGATCGTCTGCACTTACTTGAAATACTGATTTTGACTTCTGTTTTCCTTGTAAACTGGTAAAAGCACTCGACATTTTTAGTCTGAGTTTTTCGAAATACCTATGCCTTGAGGTTTTCTTCAGATGAAAACGAACGGCCTGAGTCCTTTACCGAGCGAAATAAAGAAGAAGGAATTTTGCCGACATTGCAACTTGCGCGGTCACAGTGAGAAAGACTGCAGAAAATATGGAGAGAACACAAGAAATGGCTCGTCTGTTCCTGGCAAGGCTTTCGATTCTTGGAAGACTGATCGTCGCTATGAACGTGGCCGTCGAACTGATCAGTATCATCCTTACTGGGACGGTAACCGCAACGCTGCAGTACAACCAGAATATACTCCGGATGAATTAGCATCTAAGATAGCCAAACAGCGAGAGGAGCTGCTTTTGCGAGAGGTAGCCTTACGAAATACAGCAATCGGAGAAGCCTCTTTGCCCAGTCGTGCCACCTATTCAAAATCGAATGCATCACATCGAGTGCGTAGCCCATCGGTGATCGAGATACGGGACACACCCGATCATGAAGAGGAGGAGCTTCGTGCTAGACTGGCTGCAGAAACTCTTAGAATGGAAGAAGAACTGCGTTTGAAGGAAAAAGAAAAGGAGTTGGAGCGCCGTTTACAACAAGAGTTTGAAGAGAAGAAGCGAGCCATGGAAGAGGAAATACGCAAGCAAGTGCAACTCGAGGAACGCGCGAAATTACAGATGGAACTGGCGCAGCAACGCACATTTCAGCCTCCGATGCAGCAGTATCCACTAGTACCTCCACAGTATCCTAGCTCCACCATGCCTCCTACAACTTTTTCCAGCTATGGAGAGGGCGGCTATGACAGAGAGACTTATGCAAATTATGACCGAGAGACGGGCGCAGGCGACTATGCCAGAGAACCTGGAACGAGCTCTTACTCATCCGTCCCCGATTTCGAACTTGAGGAAATCAAACGTTTGATAAAGGAAACTGAGGATAAGCTTCTTGATCTCCAGCGAAACGCTCGTGAGGCGGAACTGTCAGTCATTTTCCAGTCACGCGCATTCCAGACTGTATCCGAACTCGGCGACAGTGCTTATATGCTCGATCGTAGCCAAAAGCAGCATCTTCTGCGCGAGTTGAAGGAACTTCTCAGTCATGCTGGACCGAAGGAGAAGGAACTTCAAAGCAGGGAAAGAAGTAGAGGTCACAGTCACAGTGCAGAGAAATCGAGAAGAAGGAGTAGCTATCGTCATCATGACCGTAGTCCAGCGCGTAGGTCGCGTTCTCCTAGGCGTCGTAGCAGCTACAGACATTCAAAGAAAGAAGAAGAATACAAAGAAGTACGACATCAAGTTGGTGGAATCACGCTGCGAAATCTCAACCCAGTTGAACAACGCCATCTCAAAATTGGTGATATCGTTGTTGCCCAAGATAGCAGTACTGCTAAGTGGACAACTGCTCACATAGCGAAGATCTCTGGTGACACGGCAACACTTTCTATTGGCAATGCAACGTGGAAGAAGCCTATCAAAGACCTGTTCAAAGAAGTCAATGAGTGGTCTCTGTGAGCCGAGTCGCCTCAAGATTAGGCTAATATTTGCAATAGAAATACAGTTGTTTGTTTACTTTATCTTACTGTTGATGTGTTAGTGTTGTGGATAATTTCGGGCTTCGTGCTCTTGTGTACGTCTTGGCTACTATGCAGCTATCGTTACTGTTTCTACAAAATCATCTTCCGGCTAAGTTCTCAGTGATGTGAGAAGAAGAGGTGAAAGACTGTATGCGTCTCTTCAACGACCAAAAGCTCGGTATTGACAGTGAGTTTTGAAATTCATTTTATGCTCCATTTTTCTTTGTTGGAAGTTTGTAAGATTGTAAGGTTACCTCTGTGGTGTTTGGGGAGGCCTCCACCGCATAATACTTGAAGCAGCGGTCGCACTGCAGGGCTCCTTGCAATGGCTACAACCGCTGCTGGTGTCGCACAGCGTCTGGCGATTGCTACCAGAATTTGCACGGCGGTGTACAGTCTGCTCGATCGGGATCAGGTCGAACCGTTGGTTCAATCGCGCTGTCGGAGAGAGCGAAGACGTAGAAGGATGCAGACAAGCTATACACTGACGTGGGGGCGAAACCCTTGCCGAACGGACAGCCGCTATGTGAGTGTGGGCCTGATTGGGATTGAGACGAACTGTAAGAGCGATTTCTGTCGCTGGCGGTGTAGACGGGAAATGTGGTTCTTTTTTTATAATTCGGACGACTTTCTGTTCTTTTCCGCCACGGCTTTCCACTAGTTACACACGGGAATAAATGAGTGGATTTATGACTGATTGATAACGTAGTAGATCCTACCTTGAAGAATCCTTTTGAACGTTGGGATCATGGTTGGTATCAGTCACTGATGCACATGCATGGGCCACTTTCTGTTTTTGCTTTGTGGTGATGGCAGTGCGTGGAAGCATTTATATTCGCGAATGGACCATAATGCCGAGGTCTTCATTTCTGCATTTGCAGACGTTGCCAAAGCGAATGCTCAGCTATCATACTCACACATCATAGAGAAACACCACTTCTGGGCACTGTTGTCGCCTAATAGGGGTCAAAGTGTCTGGCCGAAATCTTAATCCGGTTCTTTACTCACATTGATTACGTAGTGGATAGAGGGAAAACATGCCGGAAGGAATTCAAGCCCTCAGTTTCAACACTAACGAGCGGTGGAGCCTATCAGAGATAGAGAAGAGAGTCTATGGTTCCATGACATTGGCTTGATGGCACTATAGCTTGAGAAGAAACCATATGGTCGGTATGTTCCGTCGCGGTATCGTAATCCCGGATGGATTGTGCTATTTCCGGCTTCATTTATTTCCTCGCTCTTGAGTGATGACCAGGTCGATTATTCCTCCTAAGGATCCCTCAACCTTACCTGGACTCTTCTTGTGACAAATGCAGTGGGTTCGAAGTAGATCATATTCTGTATCCTGTATCAGGTGCCCCGAAAGACCATGCAAGTGCTTGGCCAACTCTATGAGGACCGAGTCGCTAGTAAAGATTAGGGTCTCAGCAACATATAACCCTTTCTCGCTCGCTATCAACTTCATCTAAGCTCAATCTCTATGACTTTCCTTGTGGTTTCTTTTTAACAACATAGGATTGCTCAAGCCATCCGTGATCAAAGACAAGGAGTCATGGAAGACCGGATTCGTAGTAAAACCGAGCCGAGGAGAGAAAAAATTGAATTTAATAATAAGAAACCGGTAATTTCAACCAGCATATATCAGTGGCTGCCATAGAAGAACTGTCGGAGGAAGGACCGCTACGCAGGTTAAAAGTTCTCCGCACGAGCGCGGCAAGCGCTTCGGCTTCACATGTTATGAATCTGAGCGTTTGCCCATGCAATCTATTCGAATTCGAATTAATTGCAACAACATATCACGGGGTGGTGTCATAGTTGCTTGAGATCCGGTTTAAACCAAAATCGGGAAACCATGACACCGCCCTTGAAGGCAAAGTGGCTGGCGCTGGGATTTTACAATTTTGCAGCGGCGGGCCCCTCCCCCCTCCTCTCCACAAATCCAGCGAAGTCCGGTGTGAAGAAGTGGCTCTGAAAAGTCAGAAATCTTCTCCGGAATCTTCTGGAGCCTGCCCCCTCCTTTCCGGACCTCGCCTACTAATGTATTTTCTACTAATGGCGAACATGGAGAGGTTCAAAAAAGCATGCTGTTTTTATGCGCTGCAAAACTCATATATCATTTTATCATGGCGAGGGCTCCGAGAAGGTGAAAAATTGAAGAGCGATCGTCGGGACCCTGCCTTCAGGCCCTGGCGGCGTCGGTAGCGCTAACGGTGCACGTTGCAATGCAAAGTGATAGCGTGTTGTTAGCCAGAGCACGGAAGGGGAGGGAGGCCACTATGCAGACGCGAGCGTCACTCAGTCTTCCAGATATGCCGACGTGGGTCACGAATCGATTGGAAAACACGCACACGTGTGTTATGCCTGTGTTGGACTGTATCGGTTGTTATGGGCTATAGACTGCTGTGATTGTGTGTAGCTCGGTTCGTAAAACCTCAATGCCTCCAAGAAATCACAAGCCCACCCGCCATCACGCACAACACTTCATCGGTGGCTTTTCCCTAACGAGCAAAGGAGGAGGAGAAATCTGCTGCGCGCTCGACGAGCACGCAGCGTCGTGTCGTGCGAAAATGATTTACCGCTATGTCTGGCAGCAGCGCATGGCTGCAAAAATCTTCTGGTCAGTGATATGAGAGCAAAGATCTCGTTTTTCCTGCATACTTGGAAAATTTCAAAACCGCCGGTTTCATCAACGCCTGTGTAAACGTATCCAGCACTAAACCTCCATCGCTTGAAGACAGAAACATGATGTAGACTCACACCTTCAAGCAGTATAGCATTGCGATTGGCATTGAAGCGAAGTCAGTGAGATTTTTATTAGTTCATGACTTCTTTCTGGAAGTAGCAGAAGTCAAAAACATCAATCACATCTGTATCTCCCATCAGCCGGTATCATCAATATTCCACTCGCATGGAGATGGGCCCAAGAAAATAGTGTAACAATGAAGAAACCTCCGAAAATTGAAACGGACACACAATGTAAAAAACATCGAAAGGAGAACCGGATGCAGCTAGCTAGCCAACAAGTGGACCTATCGATGTACCTTACTTCAAACTTAGAATCGATTTGCATCTCACTGTCAGATGAAGCCACATCTATCTTGATTGTACAAAGTGGCCAATTCTGGCCCCCATCTAATCCGTGATTTTTGCTCGAAACACATGGATGGAAAAGTTCTTCGACTTTGCTTGAAGGAAGTGCGCGACAATGGCAGTCAACCAAGGTTTATTTCGGTTTTCCATAACTTTGAAGGTTCCCAGGCCTCCAAGACGGAGACAAAAGCAAGAAGGAGCGGAATGATGAAAGTCCTCATTCCCCTCTTCTTATCAAACCTCAATGAACGGAAATGGTATCAGTCATGATGTCGCCTTGTGTGAACATGCGCTTGCTTCAACTGATGAACAAATGCGTCGGATATGTGAGGAGAATCGTTCTGTAATAGAGCCTGTCGAAACTTACATACGCACTTCCGACTGGTGCCATTACGATAATAAAGGACAGCAGTTGGTGTCAAACTCTTTATCGCATGGATCTGGGGAATCAAGACAGTGGTCTTCCAAGTATGTCGAACTGTCAGGAATGTTCGGAAGTTTTCCAGCAGGTAGATCCAATCATGCGTCAAAGCTCACTGCATTTGAATTACTAGGGGGACGAATGGCGTAGTGGTATGAGGCGCCGCTATGACCAGTTCGGACGCAGGTTTGGTCCCGCCCCTGGGCCAACCAAGTTCTCTACCCTCCGGGCCGCTCAGTTGATACCAGAGTATTCCTGGGAGGACAAAAGCACTGACTTGGTCATCGGCTGGCCCTCGCGAGTCATTCAAAAGCAGGCAGGCTTACAAATTGCCTCTTCGATTATGGAATAGTGTGCGTTCGGCGCATGCCTGCAGAGAGTATTGAAGACGCCGAATCCTTCATCCCCTGTTATCTGGGTGTTTAGCTGCCATCAAATTGCTTCAATCATGCGTTTTCCTAATATGAGCAGTGAAGCCTGACATTTTGAGGCATACGTTGGAGGGGGATTGAACCCTGGCTTTTGGATGGAGATGCCTGCTCATCCCTAGTTGTATGGCATGGAAGACCATGGAAGCATCGCATAGAGTGGTTATCACCTCATTGGTCACTTTGTGGAACTGCTACATTTTGAACTTGTACTGGCAGGCTATGGCTTTGAAGTACAGCGTTCTCCCGTACTTCATGCAAAATTCCTGCCGTTTTTCGTCTTTGCTACTGTTTCTGTTAGGAGAAATGCATCATTCCAACTCCGCTGCAGATCTTAACCTCGATGTAATTCACAAAGTAACTGCTGGATTGTGGGCGACTGCATGCTGTCTACATGCACTGCGAGCTGACGCTCATCTCATTAAAATGTTGAGAAAATCCACCTATTTCGAAGCTGTAGTGGTAGCGAACTGCGAAGTGGAAGAGTTGACCATATTACCACTTCAATATCACGTAATGTCAGAACAGACATTCTGCCTGTATGATGCGAGACCTGTCATTCTCCAAGGTTCCATCTGCCAATAAGTTCTGCTGCTGGGTGAAGTCGGGCGGCCCATTGAAGGAATGGGCGATCACGGTTTTATCGCCTGTAGATAGCGTGAGTCGGCCGGCAGTAGACCTCAGATATGTATAAGCTCCTGCAAGACGAAGGCGGTCGATTCAAAGCGCAACGCGGCTGCGACATGGCTGCGTCACAGCCGAGTCACAGCCGCGTCACAGCCACGTCGTACCTCGAACCGACCGCCTTCGTCTTGCAGGAGCTTATACAGGCTATGCCAAGTACAGTGTCGCTTGCACCAGCATTGGGTCCCGCTTGGCCGCCTCGCTTGGACCCTGCGTCACGTTCGCGGTTCTGTCGGCTGATCACTCTCCCATGCCTGAGCGTGGGAAAGGGCTGAGTCGAGCTTTAGTCGGTGATTAGGCGTGGAAAAATGGTCAGAGGTCAGATACGCGAACGAGCTCAAGCCTAAGCGAGGCGGTCGGGCGGATCCCAAGCCGCTGGTGCACTAGACACTGCAACTGAAAAAGCCTTTAGCTGTCAATGCGCTTGTGCAGCAAAGACTTTTGAAAGCTCAAAATTTCCCTACCGTCATTTTGTCAAGGTCATGACTCCGTTACAGGTAGGCATCGGCTGCATTGCTTGTTGTTGCTTGTCCGGCTGGGACGGCTCTAATTGTGCGCTTCAACTAGCGTCCGTCGCATGAGCATGATGTTCAAGCATTTCATTTATGTTTGCAAGCTTGCCCTGCCTCAGCAAACCCGCGAAATGGGTGAGTTTCAATTTTTACATTTCAGATTATTTCATAGCATACATTTAGTTTTAGATAGAAAAAAAAGACGTGTCGTGGAATGTCACTGACGGATTGTAAGGAAGATTAGACGAGACCTGTCCATCGTGTGGCTGTAAGTGTAACACATATTTTCACGATATCATCAGTTCTTATGTATTGAAAAACGATGTATCGTACTTGGCAAACGCAGTTCTTTGGTAGCAAAAGTAGTGTAATTTAGTTGAAATTCTCTACGGGCTTAAGATTATGTTTGAGGAACCCATATGCTTGAAGACTAATCCCTTTTTCTACAAAGACCTCACAAAAGACAACAACAAAGACTGAGTATAGAGACCTTTAATAAAATGTTCCCTGAGATTTACGAGCATTTCATCAGGCTTTGAGCTGTGATCGGTTGTCAACGCAACGTTTTTTTCCGAAGACAAAGATTCCAAGTCATTTAAATATTCTTTTCGATCTCAGTTTACTTTTATAAATCATTTGGGAGACAGAATTTCAAAGAAAATGGAAAGTTTTTTCTTTTTTCTAAAATCACTGAAAACAAATTCTGACTTTTTGTTGCTTGTAGCAGTTTAGCGCCTTTCAGGATTGAGTCAATGTTTGAGTTCGGATGATTGTCTTAATTAAGTTTTTGTTGCAGGAGTGGAGTAGAAGACGCACCGGTTCGACGCTGCTTCACACTCACATCACTGAATAATATTTATCTTGTTGGAGATGAATTTTTGTTGCTACAGAGCTGATTACATGATATCGGTAGTGCTCGACTACCCTTACGTTGTGGAAGCGTGCCGAGGGTGGAAGAATGTTGAAACACAACACCGAGTTATTACTTACAAGGGAATTAGTTGAAGTGGCTAGTCCTCTAATAGTGCCTGCCGTATCATAGGCATGAAAGGAAGCGTCCGCGCAGAATTTCAAACCAATTTTTTTCGCTTATCTTAGTTTATGCTTCCCGCTGATTTCAAATTGCGAAGGGAACAAAATGGGTGTGAGCGATTAAAACATTTGGTCATTAAAAGGTTGCAAGGAAGACTTATCATTACCTTTGCTATATATCACCACTGCACTAGTTTTTCCGGTAAAGTGTGGTCAAGTTAGTGGATTGTATTACTGCTTTAGAAGCCGTGTGCGACTCATTTTGTGGTCCATTAGCAAATCTGCAGAAATAACGAACATGTGCCAAAAGTCATGAGTACATTACGACTCTTTTTTAGTTCATGCGTCCTCAGTGCATCAGCCATGCATTATACAAAGAGTAATTATGGTAGACGTCCTTTTTTTTCAATGCGGGTTCTTCGTTCAAGAAAAAAAACAGATATAGGCGATTCGTAGCACGCGAAAACTGCGGACCCATCTGCGTCTCTGTGATCAAGCGCTGTTTCCTTTCTCTTACCATCTGCTGCCTCTCCCATGCACGAGCTATCTTGCTTGGACGCAAGAGCGCCCATTCTTTGCGTATCTTGAATCGCCGGTAAATACCATCTTTACTTCAAAACCGAATGTCTAAAGCTGCAGTTTACACCTTAATGCTTTGACCAGGTGGGAATTGATCATTCGTATGTGATAATTCCTGATTAGAAATAAGCAGCAACCCCCATAAGTATTTGGAACAAAATTGTATATATTATTGTATATATATTATCAACATATTTGTGTACGAAATCTGGAACTAGTATTTTCGATTACAGAAATTTTCCTGACTTGTGTTTTCTTGGAATCCTTCTTTTACATGGAGATATTTTTCTCCTTACTGCGTGCAAAATAATGTTCCAAGACTGTGCCAGTTGGTCGCGAACACTTCCCAAGATAGTTCCAAACGACTAGGGTTTACCGTATTCACCGTAGAGAAGGCGGTGACATACATCTTCATATTGTCGATCCAAATTGTTAGATATTCAACCTTGATATATACATAGCATTAAAGAGAGAAAGTGGGAGTGATGGCTTTTATCTTCGAAATCATAAGATTTAAGGAGAAAGTTATCCTTACTTACAGGAAGCTTTTGAATATTTCAAGGACAACCGGAGGCAAAGTTTCTGATCAAGATTGTCAGATTGTTTCGCTACTTACGGAAGTCATATGTATAGAAGTGAAAAAACTCTGCGTATAGATGTGACTGAAAAGATAAATTAGGAAATACAATGCCTTTCTCTGTGTGGAAATGCCAGCATACAGGCTACAGACAGTGGGAAGCGGATTCACAATGTTCTTATTTAGACAAAGCTTGTCTTTATCCGATTGCTAATTAACTACACTTGTTATCTCAAAAGATATCTTATGAAATTGACTAAAAAGCTTGAAGGCAGTGTCTCACCAAACTTTCGTTCTCGGGATATTTGCGAATTACAAGTCTTTTCGACCTTGTATGACCCTACACTAGCTCTAAGTGTGGGCAAGAATCCCGGAAACCCCGTTTTCTGAAGCCCCCATAGAAGCAAAGCGCACTAACTTTCCCGCTTCACTCTAATGGCGGTCGCAGGGCTGAACACGTCAAGAAGATGGTGTCGCATGGAAAGACGTGTTGAAGCGCGGTACGGAAACGGACAACTCATCCACCGCGCGCCGAAATGCGGTCCGCGAGCCACTTTGAGTGCAGTTTTCTCGATGTAGGAGAAACCTTGTCGAGTGAGACTTGGGCATTGGCTCTTAGAGAGGGGGTCCCCAATGCACTGCGTAAAAGTCTGGTATATCCTAAATCTGATGAGACACTGCCTTCAACATTTTCGGAGACTAACTACGTTAAAAACAAGAAAACAGAATATCCTCAGAGCCCGGCAGGAGGTGGCATTTCAGAATTTTGAAAACGATATCCCCTTTGAAGTCAAAATTTTTTACGACTTCCCCTTTGACCCTATTTTTGACCCCCGTAAGTCCCTAACAAACAGATATACACAAATAATAAGATGGGCGGCCTCAGCGCTTATTATAGTAGTACTACCTGGCTTTCCTGGTCCAGCCCGGGTCATCAAGGTTTCAGCTCAATGGGTTCATCCGCAAAGGAATCTATAAAAAAACATAGGGTCAAGATTTGCACAAATTTTGACGTTTATATATCTAAGATACTATTCATTTATTAGTCAGCTGCGAAACTTTACAATTTACAATAACCGATTGCGATTGGAGCGCGCTTTCCGAGGCCGATCATAACGCTGTGAACCCTATTTGGGGCTGTATCGAAGCGGTGCCTTGGTGGTTTTGGAAGCGGATTTGAACATATAGTAATACTGTCGACCTAGTCCACATTTATGTAAAGAAATCCGGGAAATTATGTGAAGGGAAGCAGGGAGCCACCCCAGGTGGCTCCCAGGTGGCGCGGGAGCCACCTAATTTCGAAAAACACCATTTTTTAGATTCACATAACTTTCTCATAATTTTTCATACTTTTTTTGTGCTCATGGTCCTCCAACTACACAGCAAATTTGGTGCCATATCGTTACTTGTGCATTGAAAACGAGCCTATTTTGTTGTTTTCCTCTTACAAGAATTGCGATTTGAATTCCTGCCTGCGGGCAGGCTAGCGATCGGAGCACAGAATCTTCACATTGCTGGAATCTAAGTTCATAGGACAGTAGCATCAACAAGGAATAATGAATAAAGAATGATATGTGCATTGTTTATCGGTACGATATCCAGCTTGTGAAAGCGCCACCCCCGCCGGGCCCTGGATATCCTTGAATTCTGGACAGCTGATCTAAAAGAGAAGCTCAGAACTGCTCTTCAAGAGAGAACTCAATTGCGAAGGTTTCGTTTACGAAATGACATGTTTGAGAGGCCAAATATTCGGAGCTACTAGCTTGCCGATATAATGTTCTCCTACTCAGTGCAATTGGGAATACAACTCATAAAATTCAACTTTGACATGTGGAAGGATATATTAGGTTGCTTCATAATTAATGCACGTTTTCTCAACTTCCACTTCTAATGAAGGTAATTCTTTTCCGAAACAATATTTCTGAGCAACAAAAACTACTATAAACAGCAAACTCTTAGCTATACAACATACACTTCTATGTGATTGCACTCACCACGGAAAAGATTTTACGGCTCAAAATTTACCGAGAATTTTCTCTGGAAAGCTCTAGTTTGAAGAAGCATAACTTACTCTCAAAAGGACTAGATTGGAGCAAACTTTGTTATCGTGTAGTCGATGGTCGATTCAATAGTAGCGTGGATGGCTTTTACCAAAGATTTTCTGCGAAAAAAAAATATTGTCAAGAAAGCAAAAGTACCATCTCCTTTATTTTAAAGAAGGCAAAAATTGTATTTTCAAATTCTTCCAATCTTTTCTCATTTAAAGGACGAATTCTGCCATTTTCCTACTATTAGTAGTCCTTGGTCTACCCTCCCAAAATCAAATGAAAGTTCTGTAATTGCTTCTCATGTAAGCATTTTATAAAGCTCCGAATGATCCCAGCATTCAGCTAAGTCTGAGTAACGCTTCTCGGCTCAGGATTTCTAAAGAATTTAGCCTTGGTGAGCATTTTATAGCACAAATCTTCGCGATTGTAACATATCTTTGAAACAAATTTGAGCATTTTCATGGAATTAGAGCAAGTCGAATGAAAGGAAAAAATTTCAAGTTTAGTTCCTCACCTTTAAAGGCACGAAACTTCGGCCTGAACGAAGATCTCCGAAAACGAAAATGTATGTTTGAAAGTAGAAGGAACGGCTTTCCAATAGTTGATGGTTTTAGAGAAAAACGATTTTTCATTGAAAACTAGCGTTTGAAAGAAGAGGTAGGAAAAACGTGCATTAATTATGAACCAACAATATTATCAAAACCCCAAATCAAGAGTCCTTTTCGAAATTCGTGCACTCGTTCCAGCTCTAAGCAAATTACTCATGACAACGATAAACAATGATAAACAAATATTCTGAGCGAATTTTGTTCCACGTTTGTATTCAGACTAATTATCTCTATCGCTCAAGTGATTGCCGAAGTCGAATCCATGGTTATAATGTTTGTACTGATTTTTGCACTTATTCTTAAGACTTTCATGAAATTTGGGACAACTGGAGGACAAATAGCTCAAAAACAGAGTAGCTGAAAAGGGATATGAAATTATTGTTGCATGTTGAACAAAAAGCCTTTTTATGTTGACGAACTAGTTAGGGCATGATTAGAAGTCTCAAAATTTAGAAACAAGTCAGTATACTTAAACCAGATTTATTTGCTGATACTGCACCCCATGCGCGGATCCGACGAAACTTTTCTGTAAAAGGAGCACTTGGCCATTAAAATCACTACAAGAGCATGCAAAGACAAGGATAGCCAAACATGAAACCATCCTGCAGGATAGCAGAAACATTACAAATTGTTTGTTGAATACACCCGATGTCGTTATCGGCATGTAAGACAAATAAACTGTATTGAATATAGACGGACGAAATGATACTCAGAACTATAATCGTCTAGTACCACTCGTCAGCCAAAACCACCAAGATTATTATCTGCCGCGCGGGTCATGAGCGGTTGGGCACGAGCACACCTCAAACTTGGGTAATTAAACTTTATCAAAGAAACAAATAACAGCAACAAACACGGATAGAACAAATAACAAATAATGTTACTAAATGATAAACTACAAATAGGAATAATATGAGTTGATTGGATATTCGGAAGAAAGCACAAATATATGAGTGAAATTATGTTGAAGCAAATGAGCAAAGTCGTACATGTGAATAACTCTGACTGTGCACTGCCAGTTAGTACTTATATGCATGATCACATCATCAAGCCACAGCTGCGCGCGACATTCTAGTGTTAGTTAGCTAAAAACATGAGCAATTCATATCTAATGCTAACATCTGCAAATTCCTCCAATGGTAAAAACGATACGAGCTACTGAAATCATCAATGCTGTACAACTGGCAAAGTATTACTAACAATAAGCTACATGGATGTTATGAGTTCGTACATTCTGAGGGAGAAAAGAACAGTACGAACTGCGAAGTTCGTATATAAACAAGTTTTTGGAGGATATAAAAAATCGAGGTTCTAGGCCAGCTCCAGTGAAAATTAGCCAAAATTCGGTTAAGAAATCAGGTTGTTTTTCATCAGACAGTGCCCATAGAAGTAACTCACATTGCAATGTTAGGCTATGTAGCTATAAAGCCGCCTTAATCACGGCAGTCGGCTCTATCTTGGAATTGTCTGAGAACCCACTATTCTGTACGTAAACTAACGCTATATCGTTGTTCAAAACGGTTCCCAATTTATCGAAAATTTTGAAAAAAAACGTGTTCGAAAGGCTGACCACAGCCACAAGGCCACCTCGTTTTTCAACCATTACTACATCTTTGGATCTAGAATTTTTGTACAGTTACTGCATCTTTTGAAAGCTTGTTTGCTGGGAGCTGTCGCCTTTTGAAAGGAAAATCTATACTGCATTTTCTGCTTCAAAATGCATAAAAAGTCACATTGTTTCGAGAAACTGCTGGTTCACCGAGTTTTCACGCAGCAAGGATGAAGATATTATGATCTACCGGGCGTTTTCATGAACGCGGTGAAGGGCGCTTGAGTCAACTTTGCGTAGTCGCTGAAAAGCCTCAACCTTACCATGAAGGTAAGCACACTTTTTAGCCAAACACTAGATTTCCGGCGCGCTAAAACTTTTGCTCGGAAGTGAATTGTTTGAATGGCGACGTATTCATGCAAAAGTTGTCAGAATTTTCGCGAAGGCCTACCTGCAACACTGTAGTCAAGCTTCATCTGCAGTTCAGTTGTACGCAGTAAATCTAAGATGACCCCATATTTTAATACTTTTTTCAACTCGTCATCAAGTCAAATTTTACGGAACTGTTAAGAATACTATGTAGAATAGTTATGAACGGTTTTCCGTCCGATCGAGTGGTCAGAGGGGGTCATGTTTACTCAGAGTGTGTAATTCATTTTTGAAGGAGCATCGCTCAAGGCGAAACCGAAACTCTAAATGCTCGATGATGTCCCGAATTTATCATTGTTTAGAGACGCACATTAAACATAACAGAGCTTTTTCAGGCATCGGAACTCAAATTCTGTAGTTTGAGTGCTCGTCTACCTGAAGGTGAGGTCGAGGACCATTCATCAATATCAGCGAATACACAGGGTTAACTCAAGCGCTATTCGTCGCATTTATTGCTGAGGTTCAGCGTCCTAGGACCTTCATCCGAGTATAAGCCCTTGAAAATCCGGAAAACCATTACTTTTTTGATGCAATGTGACTTTTTGTGCATTTTTGCAAAGGCGACAGCTCCCAGGTGTAACAGCTGCTTCATATTTTGATGCTGTAAGTGTTTGTATCGCTTAATAGAGGTGACCTTGAACTGTGGCCAGCTATCGAAGGCAGGTGCTATACTCCTCGAAGTGTATAGCATGGCGACGATCGATATGCATCAAATACGTGTAAAACCAGCGATTTTTGTCGCCGATATTGGCGATCGCCAGTCGCCAAACAAGTTACCGTTAAGTGTTGAATGTGAAAATCACTGGTCTTGCAGTTCATTCTTTCTAGGGCTACCTCACCGGCTGGTGAGTACTTTGAAATGGAAATAGGAAATGAGTAATGATCGCCAATATCGGCGACTACACGTTTGATACGTATCGATTAGCGACGGGCGATCGCCCGTCGCCATGCTATACTCCTCGAGGAGTATAGCGCTTGCCGAAACAAGTTTTTTTCAAAACCTTCCAATTTTTCTCTAAACAAAACAGTGAAATTGTGTGATAAGTATTAGTTTACACAGAAGATAGTGGTTTCTCAGACAATTTTATCCAAGACAAGGAAGTTATCATGGTATTTGGAGTGGCTTTCTAGCTTTGGCCAACACTGTAAGGCCTAAGGTATATCTCACGCGATTCCAGTCGCTGCGCGATTTGTCACCAGAACAAATGTTCATAATTGGTCATCGGCGAGCTTTGTTAAGTCAGGACTTGCTCAGTTTGCAACAAATTACAAAAGTTAGGCACCAATGTATTGGAGAATCGCGCACGATAAATCTGGAAACATCTGGCAAACTGCCAGGTCGCGTGAACGTCGCGATTTGGCCGAATCGCGCGAGGTATGCCTTAAGCCCCGGTCAGACTTCATGCGACTTAATCGTCGCGATCTAATCGCCAAGATTTCCACTCATTTTCATTTCACATTCAAAAATTTCGGGCTGGAAAAGTATCACAACCGAATGCAAGTTGATCGGCATGGAATGATGTTGTATCAGTTGTCTCGTCGCGACTCAGTCGCGACGATCAAATCGCGTGAAGTCTGCCCGGGGCCTTAGGCCTAAAGTTCATTTATAAAATCGTGACGATGGATTTGCAGGCTTTGCGCCCACAGGAGCTATCACCTCATACAGAAAGGCATCACCTCAAGGCTCGGCTCAGTCACTTCCAGTGTCCAGGTCTATCATGCCTAAGCAGAAAAACCAGTCGATTAAAACCAAGAAAACGCGATTGTTGGAAGGTGCGTGCGTGTCGCGCGCGGTCACGCCATCGCCACGATTCTTTGAATGCCCTATGGTCAAATCGCCCCTTCAAACAGAAAAAAAACGTGGAATTGCTCGTCAGTAAGGTCGGTACGGTAGGTAGAGCTTGGTGAAGATGTCGAAGTTAGGTACCTACTTACATAGTGGTTGCCAGTTCCCGGATCTAACTTGTTTACACGAGATTAGGAGCAAAGACTATGCATCTGTCAATCCATTTTTTCTCTATATAGTGCAAGTTTATCCTCGTGCGGCATTGTATGTAGAGTACACCCATTCTTTGTTTTTATTCATATTCAAAACCGTCGACAAGCGCTCAGTCCCTCATTGGTGAAGGTGACAAGCACTTTTATGCCATCTCGCTACCATACTGCGGCCAAGAGGCCACTTCCACCGGCGCCGCTGGTAGGCACCGTTTAGTTCCCAGACAGTATGCGCACATGTTCGAAAGGACCAGCGGCTCGAGGCGGCATTTCTACTATATAGGCGGCTAAGTGGAGTTTTGCGCTTCTAAAGAATTAGCACCTTTTCGGAAAGAGGAGCGATTTCTGCTATCAAACGTCGGTTTCGGCACGATGCTAGTTCTCACATAGTGTGCAATAGCGTATTTAGGAGTCCGCGGAGGCGGCTAGCAGAATCCGTTTCTACAAGCGACGCTGCTTTAACATCCCAACTTCATAATTCGAAATCGACTTCGCAAACCTTGTACCATGTCGGTTTTCCTTCTCCTGCGCACTAATGAAATAAACACCAATTCTATGATCCTGTTTTCCTTGGAAAGGCGCGGTAGGGAGCTCTCGTTTAGTAGCAGAGGACAGAGGAAGTCTGAAGACCAGACTGGCACGCGGAAAGCGACCATACGTATTCATCGGCTCCCAGATTCGTGTGAAGGCGGGTTGCGACCTTCCCTGAACAAAAGAATTGACTTAAATTGAAACGCTGCGGCATTGTTTATCGTACTCCTCGTTGAGTTCATCCTTATAATCGGGAAAATCCGCACCGCCTTTACACGGATCTCGGAGCCGATTACACACATAGGCTCTTTTAAGATCCTCTCTTTTCAATCCTGCTGAATTCGACTGCTGCATATACCGGTTCACCCTCTGTGCCCCCCCCCCCCCTGTTTTTGCCGCCCAACCTTAGCAGCGGGAAGCTTTATTTGCAGATGTCTCTCCGTACCGTACCGCTCCGCTACGAGGGTCCTGGCACGAAACAAGACCGCGCCAAAGCGTAGAATCAGAAAGAGATGAACACCTGTTACCTAATTATCTATCTGCTCGTAGCTCTCTTCAAGAAATTCCAAGAATTCAATCATTAGGATTTTGGTATTTCCCAAGGAAAGCTCTCGGATGGCATTCTTATTGTTGTTATTTCATATAGCAAGGCAGCGTTGCCAGCATAAAGGATCATGGCATTCGTTCTCCGTCGTAAATAGAGTATCAACCGCCATCTTCTGTAAAACTGCTTACAATCATTTGCTGTTGGTAGAAATACGAGCCAGTATGCACACTCCAACCAAAACTTCTTGTTCCTCTTCCAAGTAGTAGAAGAATAATCACAGTCGTTGACTTTTGGTATTTGTCTGTTTTGTTGGGAGTATCTCCATCTTCTTGATCCACTGATCGTGATGCCATGGCAAGTTATGCCTTCTTTTTGTGATCTAAATAAGATGTATTTCAGTTTCTCACAGTTTTTCTTGGGTGATATTACACCTAGTAGCAGACGCAGAAGCTCAAAATCACTGTAGCTTTGATGATTATAAATGATTTCCCTATTGCAGTGAAAAAGGAGATGCAACGACTCCAGTCAAATCGTGCGGATGCCAAGCTTGATGTGGTACGATGGTTTTTGTGTCCGCGTTGAATTCATCTTTCTTTTTAGTTGTAAAAAAACATCAAAAACGTCATGCTTTGATCACGCCTTAAGTTGAGATTCACGACCACCTAGCGGTCATAGCAGGCTGCAGACTAGATAAGTCACGAGCTGACACCCGTTTGTCTGCATAAAATCGGACAGCTGAAGCAGTCATCCGATTACTTACGATAGTGCTATATCCTCGTCCAGCTGAGAGCTATTGGTAGATCTGAAATGCCTATAAGTGATTAGGTTTATTTTTCTCCCACCACGTTTTCTTTCATCTGAAGTTCCTCACTCACGCATAATTTACTTTGAGGAAATCGTTGTTGATACGGCATAATCTTTCATCGTAATAGTATGTTCTGTTCGCGAAAACAGTACGAAGTGAAGGAGATTTTTGAGTCTCACCTCTTTCGCGTGCTATAACTTTTAAAAGCAATATGGAAAAATTTGGTAGAGTCTGTGATTTTTGTAGCCATACGGAAAAAGTTGGGATCCTAGAAATGGAAAATTATTCAACATTCTGATTATCAGGCCATCTCTACCCGTTATGGTAGGCTTCATCGTTGAGCTATAGTGAGACCTTAGACTTTCTATTGTCATGGCCCGTACCTGTCGAATTGTATAAGGAAAGCGATGGGGTATATTTTTATCTCTTACTTGGTCTCCTCTCTTCTGTTCAACCAGATAAAGAGGTTTTGATGCGTATGTGTGTCAATTTTTACAGAAGGTCAAGCCGAAATCCTTTCTGGAACTTCTACGACCTGAAGATTATGATGTCCCTCCTCGTTATGTGCCGCCACCCTATCCAAAAAAGGTCAGTCTTTTTTACTGGTCTGTACTTTATGATACTTGTGCCATTTTTTACGCTGATTCTGATATTTTAGGTTTGACGAGTTTTCATTTGTCAAATCTATTACTTTTTGAAGGCAACGTCTGAGCAGATTGGTTTTTTCATTCATAATGCATCACTGAAGCGGGCTCCACGTACAAGTCGTGGCTTATTACGACGGCAAAATACAGCTCATGGAGCGAGAAAGTCGCTTCAGAAGTTCCGACAGCTGCCCCTCGAGTCAGGCTCGTCTTCAGCAAAGTGGCAAAGCTTCCGGGGCACGGCTGTTGAAACGCAATCATGGCTTCAGCGGCGCCACGCTCTCCTGCTCTGTTAAGGGCGAGTTTGGATCAAAGGCGGCTGCGTCGGAACTTCTGAATCAATTTTCTCGCTCCAGAAGCAATGTTTTGCAGTCACAGCCGGGCTATGACTTGCATGGGGAGCCCGCTTTACTGAACCGTTAAAATTGACTTGATCTGCTCTCAATCTGCCCGGACACTCCCTTCGAGAAAAATATGGTAGTCGATTATGGTATCATATGGCATCCAAAAATCGCAAAGGTATTTATTTTGTAGAAGCGTGTGCCAGATCCATCCGATCCTTCTAAAACGATAACACAATACTACTATGAATCGGTGAGTATACTTCAGCATGGCTTACGGATTTTTTCAGATTTCGTTTATTGAGCCTATATGTGCATGACGTCGAAAAAACAAACAGTATTTATCTGGAAGGCTGCGTTCTTACTGATCTGAAATATCCAGCACTCGAACCGAGCGTTGTGCTGGAACTGTTCCCGAATTTCCGGATCAGTACGAACGCAGCCAAAATGCTGAGATTGCAATCTTCAACAATGCATGGCGATCTCACGTGATACATCACAGTCTTAAAGTCGTTTTTCAGGATGAGAAAGCTGTTACTCCTGAAACGGGTGAAGTCAAGTTTGGTGATAAGGTATGTATTGTATCAAGCTATAATCGACTTTTCGAGAATACCATTTGCCAAATTCGACGCATTTTTATGCGCGGATACGATAAACGAAATTACATAACCTTGAGAAGAGTTTGTTTGATGTTATTTGTCTCAATGTTTCGACCACTTTTGGCGTGCATCAGATTTTAAGCTCTACAAAAGCCACTGTTCAGATGCGTCTAAAGGAGGAGCCGCCGTCATATGAGTCCTCTCCAGGAACGGAGACCTACTATTCAGAAAGTGGTTGCAGAAAGTATGAAGATGGTTTTGACGATCCTTCTGCAATGGATGAACTTTTCCTGGAGGAAAAGCCAATCGACAGAAAACCTAGCAGATACACATACGATCGATACGATGAAATGTACTATTCGGGTCCTGTCCGTGACTATGACTATCGTCATTGCAGTACAATGCCACCAACTTATTCAACTCCAGAATCATCATGGGAGCGTTTTGAGCCAGGTTTTTCAAGTTTTTCGCCCGTGTCCTATCCATCCACTTCTTCATACACTCCACGTAGTTATCGTAGCAAAAATCCTACGTGGGACGTTAATTTTCACGATTATAATTTACCGGCACCACCTCCTCCTCCATCCAGTATTCGTGAAGCCGAAATGCACTACCTCTCTATTCCTCTGCCACCTACACCTCGTTAGCATCTTCATGAACAACGAAACGGTTGTGGCTCTTATTATTTTTCTCATACCGTTTCGTAGCTGCGTCTGTAGAGCTGGCGGTTGGGGTCATCCAAGAAAACTTGTTCTTTGAATCGCCATATTGACACAAATAATACTACCATAATGATTGATATGAACATTTTTTCTCCCTGTGACTTTTTTTTGAAGAAGAAAGCACTACTCGTCATCGGTATGTAATCTGCCCATGTTTTGTCCTCCTTTTGACTTGGATATTCTTTTTTGAAAATCAAAGCGATGGATTCTTACCCGATCTCGCAGATAGGGAATCCCATCAGATATCGTCTGCAGATAACTCTTGAATTGCCTGACAGTCTTGACTTCCCCAACAAGGTTTTAGGGGAATTATAATGGAAAACAAGGACTTGCCTGTAGGGCGTCCTTACCTGTGAATACCAAGAAAGCGCACTCATGTGTTAGAATTTCAGGTAGTATAGAGTTTTTGGAGTTTTGGGATTCGGAACCTCGCTTCTTCTCTTTATGTAAAGATAATTATTCCAAATGGGTAGAATTATTTTCCTTTGAAGTGGTTATTTGTAGATATATACAAAGGCTTGGATCATTAACTTTAAAAGACATCGATGTCTGACGGTAGTTGCGTTCTGTTCAGTAAATTGACCGGTCCCGTTCCGGTTACAAGTTCAAAACATATGCATATTTTGATATAGTTCATTCTCCACAGGTTCTAAAAGTTCTGCTTTTGCTAAATTTACAGCTTCAAAATGTATGTCTGCTCTTGAATATATCCAACTCGATCAAGTGGTAATATGACCTCGTACGTCATTATGGAATATTAATTGACAGACAGCGTTAGATGCTGTTTTTACATGTGCCCTCAAAAAGTTTTTCCAATGACCCTAAAAGGTTTTTTTGAATACACCTTTCAAACGATAGATTGATAATTTGATGAACTTGTTTGAAGCGGGATTTGAAGTAGACAATAGTTGTCTAAATCATGCTTTTTTCTCGGTCTTATCTCGTATGTTTTCATTTCGTTTCCAACCACTGAAGTGAACTTCTGTTGATCTTGCTATCTCTTATTGCATATCCTGCTCACTCCGTGTACCGGTCTCAATGTCAGTGAGAGCTTTTGCTATATATTGGCAATATACCTCAGCCACGGATTATAACACCGTAATCTCAGGTTTTGATTATTTACGGTTGTTAGTTAATGTAGATATTCAATAGTTGAACTGTAGTTTTCTCCTTAATAGTTTATTTCGTGCATGTTGTTCTTCTGTTAATAATAATAAAAATGAAGTTTCTTTTTTTATTTATAAAAAGAGAGGTTTCGTTTTATTGGTACACTGACCGCATTCCTAAAAGAAGGTTGAAAGCACCAACCAAATTGAGGTGGAGATTTTGATGTCTTATGATAGAGAGGCCCCTAATTGAGCGATCACCCAAGTCTCGTTGAAAACAATGATTTCCAAAGCGAGGAAACTGACACAGAAGGTACAAGCTGCCACGTTGCCACGCCAAGTTGCCACTTACATTCTGGAGCAGATTTCTCGCTTTGCAATTCATCTTCTGCAGCGAGACTTGGGCGATTCCTTAATTAGGGGCCTCGCCCCTATATAGCATCGAAATCTCATCTTCCTTAATTTTGGTGGACGGTGCCTTTTATCAGAGACATTTCAGATAGAGCGTTGATGAACTTTGGGCTAATCGCAGAAGTCTATGATATCTCTTTGTGCGGACTACTTTTAGTGGAAGAGAGATGCGGTGTGTATGGTACGTGATGGATACAGATGCTTGGTTTGATGAGAAATCATCCGCTACAGTTTTTTGCTGCTATGATTTGGTGAGTATCTTTTCTTGTTGCTACAGTATTAAGCGCTTGCTAGAACTCTACTTTTTTCTGATTCTGAAACTACTCTTTTCTGGTTTTGAAACAAGGAGAGAGCCACTTAGATCAGAAATGAAAGATACCCATCATCCAATACCATGCGAGCTATTACTTCAAGAGCTAAAAAGTCAAGCGTGGGACAACATGTTAGATATTGAAAAATGTAAAAAGCTATAATGGTAGACTAAAAACACGACCATGTAGGCAATCAAGGTGTCGTAACCAACACCACAAGAAAAGGCGAAGACGAGGAACATGTAGGCAAAAATGTTCCCAAACAAATGCTAAACACAAAGGTTATCCAGCTACCAGCGACAGTTATAGCTTTCTAGAAACTCCGAGCAGCTTATAAAGTGTCAGTTTTCTTTGAGATAATGCGAATGTTACATTTATCCTCCGATTCATCGGAATAGGTCAAAATACAACAGAGAGAGCTGCAAAAAGCACATATATGATCTGCTTGAGGCAACAGTCTGCCACTGTCAGAAACCAAAATATAAAATAAAACAAATTAAAATATCAATAAAAATATAAACTTCTTAAATTCGGGAGTCATTTTATACCTAAATGTCATCGCAAGTCAAAACTTTCACGAAAGGTCATTGTAGAGAAGAAGTTCATATAATTCGAGAAAATTTGCCCTCCGAAGCGTGGGTTTTGTTTTATCTGAAGAGCTAGCCTGCTAGATTCGGGAAACGACATAAGAAGTCAGATTTTCTGCACTTTGCTATCCACCAAATTAGCCGAAGAAAAGGAATACCTCCTTGGCTCAATAGCTGGAATGAACAGCAGAGCTTTGCATGTTAATATTAGGTTGGCTCGAAGGTTCGTTCGCACCATTTTCAAGAATTCATAACTTCTGGTTTCTTTTCGACCGATATGCGAGCACTTACCTTTATCTGAAAGAGAAACTCATTCTCTTTATAGCGGTGTCTTGCGGCTTTCTATTGAGCATAAACTGCATGGATAGAAGAGGTTGAAGCGAATTACTCAAATTCTGAATTTTCTGTGTAGGGTCATAAAAAATCTGAAGCTTACAGTAAACAACGGAGCAGTCGCTTTTATAGGTTCTACTACCAGCACTTTCTAACCGTGCAAAATTTATGGGGATTGTATGTCCATATAGAAGTTTATAATTTTCGAGAAAACTTCCAAATTATACCAAATTCGGCCTTTTGTAGCTTGCTCCAAAATCATAACTTTTCATAGAGACGCTCAATCAGCACAAACTTTGCAGGGTTAGAAAGCTGGTAATAGTACCTATAATACCACCAGAGCCGATTTCTACTGCATGGTTTAGATTTTTTTTTGACCCTACACAGAAAATTTAAAATCTGCCATCGATTTTCTTCCATTGTTTCTATCCATGCATTGTATACTCAATAGAAAGCCGCTAAAACACAACTATAAAGAGAATGAATTGCTCTTTTAGATATGAACCAGTCCAAAGCGCCGCTTCGCGGCGCTTTGGACTGGCTGTGTGTGTGAAGTGGGAATGTGACTGAAAGTTAGAACCTTTGAGGTTTTGTAGCGAACCTTTTCCTCTCCAAAAGTATGGCATGGATTTGAACACGTAATGAGCCCAGAAGTTATCAAAGTAACGGATCTTTCCTGCTTTCGGTTTCGGAAATTTTCTCATGAAAATTGGCAGCAGAATTATGAATGCTCCCCTCCTAGCTTTTTCTAACCGCACCCACTTCCTTGAGACACGAATTTACAGATACTTAACTCATATATGCTCGAATCTTATATAATCTTGCGTTTTGCTATCTCAGTCTTTCAAGGTTTCCCTCCCCTCAACTCATTAACCCAGTAACTTCTTAATCAACTTTGCTGAAGTACCACTCTCTTCTCGCATTCTCGCACTCTTCAGTTCTGAGGGCATTAGTCGTAGGAGGCCGTTCTGACTCACGCTTCGGAAGTTGCCCCCAAATCTGCTTATTCAAATGTTCAGTCTGGTCACGATTTAGACAGGCTTAGCCTGAGTTCTCCATGCTGCGAAGTTTCTCGGATGCTCTCAAACTTTTACACGTCAAAAAACGTAACGCAAAAAAAATTTTGTGATTGAAGCGCCCGTCCCAAACCCGATAAAGTAATCCCAGCCATGTGCACTCTTCCCACCCGGGGCCGTTTCCCACATTTGACCCTCCAAACTGCCTTAGAACCCCCTTCCCCCCCCCCCCTCCACCCCAGAAGCTTCAATGAGACTACTTTCATCTCTTCCCGAAATTAAACTGAAGAAAATTCGAATTGTTATTTTTGAAAATATATAGCCAACATTGGAACTACCAAATCTAGACCTTTTCAAATTCGAACATTCCCTTTTTCTTTTCAGCAGTATTCTTTTTGAGAGCGTCATAATTTCTCTTTTATTTCAAGAAACTCTCGTTCGTGTTTTATGAGGTTCCCAAAATATCCAGCATCCTTGCAATTCATACGTAGGCTGCAAAATCGACCATTTTTCAGGTCATCTTATTGAGCAAGCTCAAATTCTTGAAGGAACCTACTTAAAGGTGTCCATGCTTCTAGCTGCTCACCTAGGCATATCTCGTTTCTTATACAATTTTGAGGTCGTGCAATATTCTGGCAAAGCTGCGCTGTACGTTGGTAAAGCTTTAGTTTACGTAAAGCTAAGTTGCATGCGATCCTGTCTCTTATTCGTAGCTGAGATACTAAAGGCAAATTCATACAGCATTTAGTCCTAATATAGCAAACGCGATCGCATTGACATTCTTTTACATTCTCTTCGAATTTTTGATGTTTGAAGGAAAACTCGGGAAGTTGAAAGTGTTCTTTAGAGTTTACTTTTCTTAGCTGAAGAAGGTTTTTGCATCCAGCTTTCATCGAGTCTTAAGACAATTTGCATGACCACGCTGTATTCGTTTGGAAAAATAGTGTTTCGTACAATTGTTGGCAACTATCTAAAAGGTTCACACAGTATTGGGATGTCAACTCAATGGAGTCCAAAAATTTCGAAGTTCATCAACTTTGACAAACATCTTTGCATGTGAATTGAAAAGAAGAAAATCTAAAGAGCCTGTGGTGTAGACATTTCAGACAAAGCGCTTATTCATGAAAAATCGTAGACAAAGATTGTCCAGAGCAAAGTTTGGGAGAATCCTCCAAAAACAGATTTAGTGCAGTTTACCTGGAATAATAACATTCACTAAGCACTTCACGGAGAACTTCTTCTTGCTGAGATACGTTAACAGAAAAATTAGAAGGACAGAATAATTGAAGATTTGGCGCAGCTTTTACGGTGAGGTAACATACTAAGCACTCGAGAAACGGACTATGGAAGACTGCAGTATATTAAATACCTAACTTTTCCGAAAAACTTATGCTCCCCTCCAAATTAAACGCTCCATAATAGAAATAGAGAAGCGAGATGTAAAAAAAAAAGAACGTAATGGTGTTGAGATAATGTACAAACGATTTGGCCAACCCTTGATGATTTTCGAAATGAAGCTATTACAGTCAGTGGAACAGCTTAATCAATTCAGCCAGTTCAAGTGGTGTTAATTTCACTGCTTTTGGTGCCAACTCATAAACATCGCTAGAGAACATGACCGAAAACTCTGGAGGCAGCATTGTATGACGTCATCAGCGCGACTGATCTTGGTCGCCGGGCGCGTTGCCATTAGTGGTAAACAACACCGGAACATACACACACCATGCTGACTCACATGGGGGTGCTAGCGCTTTATATAATAGTATGGATAACTCGCAAATCGTTTCATAAAGCCAGAAGTTATGGATTTTGAAAAGGTGCGAACGGACTTTCGCGCCAACCTAATATTAACACTCGCCCAGTAGGCGTTTGTTTTCATACCTGAATATCATTATGAGTGCATCTCTATTTTCAAAATTTTTTATGCTATCAGTAAAATAAGACACCCATTTGGGCTTGTCGACAGATAATTACTATCATATCGAAACTAAAACATATGAGCATTGACAACCCTGTACAGATATAAGAAAAAGGCACGATTATAACTCTACAGCTACTATCTAGGAGACCCTATTTACATATCACAACGACTGAAATGCGATTGAGGTTAGAGGCGTCGAGAATGCCAGAATTTCAAAGGCAAGGAGCGTTGGTGTGTGGCAGCTAATCCGCAAACACCGCAACGAATCAAGTGAAGCATATGGCAAATGTGAATAAATCTATCCTATCTATGGCTCAATTTCAACGACAAGATCGCCAGCTTGGCACTTCGTCTTTTCGGGGAGGTGGATGCGTTTTACGGTACCAGCAATCGGCGTGTCAATCACCATCTCCATCTTCATAGCGGACAGTACGAATAGAGGTTGTTTTGGCGTGACCTGGAGAGGAATGATGGATTTTTTTTTGCAGCATTAAGAGAGAGAAGTTAGTATAGTTCTTTCGGTTGATCAAATAATAAGAGTGTCTAGAGTTTATCTGACCTTGTCTCCTTCCTTGACTTTGAGTTCTAGAATTTCACCAGGCATAGGTGCGCCAATGGATCCACGCACTCCTGGCAAAGCTTTCGCTCGTGTGACGATGGTCTGGAAAATGAGAATAGCAGAAATCAGCGGTAAGATGAAATAACTCTCCTACCTTGGAGGCTTCCTTATCTTGGATGAATATACTTCTCATTTGACCGTTCAGATAGAAGAATACTTCGCGCTCTCCTTTACCAGTAAGCTTTCCTTCAGCAAGAAGTTGGATGGCAAGAGTTTTTCCTTCTTCGATCTCAACCTATAGTTGCAACCATTGGTCAGTTTTCTTCTTCAGTTTGCTTTTGCATCGGTTTTTCAGTACTGAGTTTGTTTTTGCATTTTCAGGATCCACATTTTCAAAGCAATAGATTTGTATCATATATAATCTACGTTTTATTATGATTTGGCGAACTCAATGTTTGTTCTTCCAAGATTCGCACCTAGGCGCAAAAATGACTGTATTTTTTTTGGCTTTCTCAGAAGCTTTTTATCGCCCCATAAAATCTCGGTATAAACTTACATCGAGTTCCTCAGCGATATCCAAACCGGTAAGGAATACTCTCGTAGGCAGCTTGTCCACAGGTCCGTATTGTTGACGGAATCGCTCGAATTCGTCAAAGACTGCTGGATACATTGCATGTGACATCAGGTCTTGATCTCTGAGAAATACTGCTTTACGCGCAAGAAGCATTTCACCGGTTTTCCACTTACTTCATTGGTCTGCCATGCTTCTCTTCCAGTTCCTTCCTCACCTTCTCGAAGTCCATAGGTGGAATGTCTTCTCCCATTCGTCCCTTCGCTTTCGGTTTTCCACGCAAAACTTTCGTTCTTAGTGGTTCTGGGAAGCCATAGGGAGGTTGACCAATGTTACCCTGAGGTGAAATGATTTTTCTTTGTAATCTCATCAATTTGTTTGTCTAACCTGCATATACCCGACGACACTAGCTGGGAAGGACAAGTCATCCGCGCGTTCCACCAGAGACTCACGAGTTAGGTTATTCTGCACCATGAACTGAGCCAAATCTCCGACAACCTTCGATGATGGAGTAACCTAGAAAATTCCGTCGTATGGTGAAAATTTAGGAATGGAATTTCAAATTTTACCTTGATAATGTCACCCAAAGCCAAGTTGGCTTCACGATACATGCGTTTCACGTCGTTGAACTGGTTGCCAAGACCAAGAGAGAATGACTGAAAGAGAAGATTAGTCCCTACCTCCTTCTCCCATGTTAGGAAATCGCGTAACGTACCTGGAATTGCAAGTTGGTATATTGTCCTCCAGGAATCTCATGCTTGTAGACGTCAGCGTTACCGCTCTTCATAGTCACAGCACACTCGAATGGACCGTATAGTCGTCGAGCCGATTCCCAATAGCCGGAATATTTGGAAATGTCGTCCAGATTCAATCCTGAAAATTGCCAACTTGAACTTGATAGTTTTATCACGCTAAGCACACGAAAGATTTATCGCGCTAAGCGTACCTGTGTCAAGTTCGCTTCCTTGGAGTGATGCCACAATGGCTCCCATACTTGGCTGACTGGTCATTCCACTCATACTGTCGACAGCTGCATCAACGACATCAGCACCAGCCTTAAAAAATGGCTACTGAGCGAGAAAAAGGCAAGACTTCATAAGAAGGAAAGAGTCTAGATTCGTGGGTGATTGTTGACTTTTCCAGAGTGTCTAGAGCGCAGTCACGCATTTTTTCACACACTATACTATTTTTATCTTTGAAAGCCTCATTTTTCTGATCTTACACATCAAAAAGGTTTGTTTCAGCAAAAATTGTTCCAGCCCAGGGATTTTTTATGGACACTGAAATGCTAACAGATTTTCTTCTTACTGTACAAAATCAATACCACTTCTTATTTGTACTTGAGATTTTCTGGATTTTGATATTGCTTATCAATAACACTTTCAATAAAAATACAAACCTTAGCGCATTCGATCATCGATGCCACACCGGCTCCAGCCGTATCGTGAGTATGGATGTGGATGGGAATGTCAGGGAACTTGTCTCTCAGTGCCGTTACCAACAGTTTGGCTGCTTGGGGCTTGATTACACCAGCCATATCCTGTGAGTACATTTTGATTTGTTGCTTTTGTTAGAGTCGCAAAAAATTCCTACTTTGATTGCCAAAATATGCGTGCCAGCTTTGACAAGTTGTTCGGCAAAGTCAAGGTAGTATTGTAGATTGTATTGTGCTCTGCTCTTGTCGGACACATCACCGCTGTAAGAAATTGCGGCTTCGACCTGGAAATTCATTAAAATAAAGTAAAAATATCGCAAAATAGAAGTGCTGTTACTTACCACACCACCAGCTTTGCCAGCCGCTTCCATACCTACAATTAAGTTGGGGAAGTAGTTCAGGGAATCAAACACACGGAAAACGTCCATTCCTGATTTCACTGCTTGTTCACAGAATCTGAAGACATCTCAAGTTCTATAGGGCTCCTAGTTTCTATAACGATCTAACTTACTTGAAAACAACATTGTCGGGATAGTTACTGTATCCAACAGCGTTGGCTCCTCGAAGCAACATTTGGAATGGAATGTTTGGTATGAGTTTTCGTAGCAGCTCAAGACGTTCCCATGGGCATTCATGCAAGAATCGCATAGCAACATCAAAGGTGGCTCCTAAATGAAATGCGTTGCTTGAGGTGCCTCTCAACCTCAAAAAGGCTATTTCATCTACAGACACGCGAATATGTAGATCAATTGGAGCATCCAAAAGCTGTGTTCATAATGTCAAGTTACTTACCTCCCCAGTTTTCGATAGAGTAGAGCTGCGGGAATGTGTGACTAACGAATGGTGCGATTTTTGCGAGATCGTACGTTCGAACACGAGTAGCAAGCAGTGATTGGTGGGCATCACTATAAACGAGATTTATAGAATTTATGTTCTTGAGGCTAAATTTTACACGGAAAATCGGATGGCAACTGTTCCTTCATTGTTAGATTAATACGACTTATCTAACTATAACATGATGTGCGAGCGCTTTGGTGAGACCGCTCTGTGAGTTACTCAGGTCAAATTGTTGTCTGATTCTTTCTTTCAAAAGTACACAAGCGCAACATTCTATCCCATGATTTATTGTATATCACGGAAGGAAAGACGGGATCAGCCCTAAAACCCTAAACTGGATTAGATGGTGTGATAATTTTTGATTCATATACAGAGCGTCCCGAAAAAATGTGCACACTGTTTGATGGCTAATAACTCGCTTGCTTCGAAGTCTTTCGCCGATCTTTAAGTACCATTCTGTAGAGCATGCTTCAATTTAGATTCGCAGTTTGGAGCAATACTCCGACCTTCCTTCGTTACAGCAGGATTACGGTAAGAGCTTTGAAGAGGGTTTAAGCCATAAGCGGGCTCGCTTTCGGGCTTGTGTTCCCTTTCCGGAGCCATTTCGCTCCGGAAAGGGAACACAAGCCCGAAACGTTAATACTAGGCTAATTGGAGTCGCTGATTACATATATGCTATTTGCACACCACGGTCAAGCTTCCTTTATAAGTTATTCCAGGAAAATAATAACAACTGCTTTTCCATGTTCTTAAAAATGTGATTACAGCTCTGAAAAGGCCAGAATTTTTGTAAAAAGTTGCGTAATGATATCAGCATGCTAAAAACCCTGCTACGCAAATTTCCCAAGTTTTTCGGATTTTTTTTATCGAATGGCCTATCTCACAATGGCGGTGTGTGCTGAGAGTTCATCCCGTATTCATATAGGGAAGAGAGATGGCAGTTTCGCTTCATACAGTAAATCAAGTTGAACCTCGCTTTACAGGATGGTACCTAAAGATGGGCGAGAGACATCGAAACAAGCGAGCGAACTTGTCTTCTTCCTTTTTTTCCATCTTTTTCAATACGCTATTACTAGCTATTCCTTCTGTTCCTTCATAGATTCTCTAAATTCTCAGGAGCATTGGATTTTCTTGAGTTTGAGAGATTCCTGCTCTCTTCTCGCGAAAATTCAATGTTCTTGAGAGTGTGACATTTTTCTACTAATTTTCGTGTCTTTTCATGATTGGCTTTTTCACCAAAATTTTTTTTCGTTATGTCGATACTTAGGAGGTAAACATCACCAACCGGAAGGTGGTATCGGTAATCATGCAGCCGGGCCTCTTGCGAACAGCCCTAGCGAACGCCTCTGGGCCTTCCTTGACCAGCACATCACGCAGTCCTTTTGGTGGAGGTGTGTCTGAAAGAATATCACATTTATCGCGTTTAGTGAAGCAACTCAACATATAGAACATGCATAACAAATAATACGCCCCTTTGATAATGCTCTTTATCATAACGAACTCATGAAAGAAAAGAACAAAGTCCACAGAACAGAAAGTGTTATATTTTCAAGCACAACGACAGAAAAGAAATGAAGTATGTATAAGTTCGACAGCAAGCATTCATGCAACAAAATTAATGTGAAGGCGAAGCAAGCAACAAATTAAACTTAGCCTACTTATTTCTTCTCGAGTCTTCACATATCCTGCAATATAACATCTAGATGGTAGGATTTTTGGAATGGAACAGATAAAGAAATAGTAGTTTGCCACGAAAGTGGGTCTCTGTATAAAATGCAGTGATCTATGCCAGATGCAGAATGTTAAAAGAGCTCAAAGGCAGCGGCTTGGCAGGATGAAAAATCTGGAATATTCATCGTTCTTGGTCTGCCGAGCCGCTGCCTTCAAGTCCCTGTGTGTTTCCATGTATCTGGTCTCCTCCTCTGTAATGTCTGGATTTTTAGCCGTTTTGGAAATTCTAAGGTAAAGGACGCAACAGGCATAGTCTTTGGGGCATCTGGCACACAAAATGTGCATCCGAAATTTAACCATCACGGATATAGGCGGTGTACGGTGCGTCACTTAGCAATCTGTTCTTGGTCTAAGTTTCCAAAAGAATATTAGCCTGAATCGAATATTCTTTTTTCATCTAATCAACCGACCTGGATGAACTGGTGGAACTGGCGGATCGACGTAGGCTGGCTTTAGATCAGTGGCAAGTGGTGTTGTTGGTCCATTGACCTATGGATTCATCTTTATTCTCAAGCCTCATAAGAGAGATCACAGAGTCTCCGTGTCTTAAATTCTTACCTGCACTTCTCCTAAGTAATTGAGCAACTTCTGCGCACGGTTTTGGCTTGGCTTGAACTCAAACAGTTCAGGATGTTCATCGATGAAGTAGGTGTCAACAGCAGCATCGTGGAATTGTTTTTGAGTGAGCACGTTGAGTAGAAAAGGAATGTTGGTCTGCAAGGAGTTTATGGACAATTACCCCAATTCTTGATGTAAATCAGTGTAGATGTACCTTGACTCCACGAATTCGGAACTCTTTAAGGGCTCGGATCATCTTTGCGCAAGCATTGGGATGGTTTCGAGCTGATGCGATAACCTGAAGATTAGATGCTTTGATTTTCTCAATTTTTGTGGGTAAAACATAGGATTGACATACCTTAACAAGAAGAGAATCATAGAATGGCGAGATCACAGAACCGGCGAATGCTGATGCTGAATCAAGACGGATACCCATACCTTCACCAGATCGGAACACCTGTAATACACGAGTTGAATTTTGGTCCACAAATGCTATGAATGTAACGCGGACCTCAATTCTTCCAGAATCGGGTTGGAAGCCTCGAGCGGGATCTTCTGTAGTTACTCGGCACTGTATAGCAGCACCGTGTGGTTTAATAGCATCCTGAGTCAGCTTCAGATCCCCAAGCGTTTTACCTTCAGCAATACGCAACTGAGCTTGCACCAAGTCAACACTGAAACGAAAATATAAGAAGAACATTCTATCGAACAGTCTCTTTCCAGCTGAACAGATACTAACACCCTTTTCCGTCTCAGTTCTTGAATCGTAAGAAACCAAGCATTACATTCTCCATTTTTTTCGCTTCCATGAACGTTGCCCCCCTCCCTCCCCCGAACCACCAAATCTGCTCACCCTGTGATTTCTTCAGAAACCGTGTGTTCCACTTGTAAACGTGCATTCACTTCGATAAAGTAGTAGTTTCCTTTCTTATCTACCAGGAACTCGCAGGTACCTGCAGGTCACATTTGCTCTTTAGTACCGTGTCAAGTCCTTCATTGTTTCGACAAAATTGGACTTGGACAAATACATGTACCTCATAATGAGTAGGGGTTTTTTGCTACGTACCTGCATTGTTATAGCCCACATGTTTCGCTAGTCGTACGGCATCATCAAGAATCTTTGTTCTAATCTTCGGATCCAACGCTGGGGCCGGTGCGATTTCAATGACCTAAAATGGGAGGCTGAAGGAAGCATTCACGTGTTGTAGCCAGTGCACCTTCTGATGACGTCGTTGCACAGAGCAATCACGTTCACAGAGATGGATGAGGTTACCATGGTTGTCTCCTGAGAGGAAATTTTATCATAAAATTGCTCTTGGACACACAGTTCTTTAAAGGAGGGTGAGGAAACCGAAGTGGCCGATTACCGCAGGATGCATATACAAATAGCTTAGAGTGCTCATTTCAAATCTGCCTTCCAAATCTGCAGTACGCTTTCGGGAAGGAAGTTATGGGCGCCTTTATCATGAAAATTTGCATGTTTTGAGTGACTACAACCAATGTTTTCTTTTCAATCGCTTCCTGCACTACAGGATAACATTCAGAAGGGGTCAGCATCACATTAGGCATGAAATCTGTTTCAAGAAGTGTAAGCCTAAAATGCTTAAATGTTGATAATGCTGGCTACTCTCAGCCTTGCAAACTTCCCGCAAATAAAAGTTCATAATATCTTTTCCAAAAGCGTTCTGCAGATATAAAAGACAGATTTAAAATCAGCGCTTTAGGCTCTTTGTGTGATATGCATTTTATAGGAATTGTCCACTTTCTCCACCCTCCCTCGTTAGTCTAGGCCCACCTAGCAGCTGCACTTCGATATGCCTTGGTCTTTCGATAAACTTCTCAACGAACAATGAACCATCACCAAATGCAGCCTGTGCTTCCGAAAAGGCTCGTTGGAAATTGTCTTTCAGCTGAAAATGATCTCCGTTGTTCTTCTTGTTCCTAACAAGAGAAGATGATTTCGTATCACTAACTGTATCGATGTTGTCTACACGTCGCATCCCACGACCACCACCACCATAGGCGGCTTTGAGAATGATCGGGGTCCCATATTGCTTGGCAAATGCCAAAGCCTCCTCCACTTTAGTGATGGGACCAGGCGTTCCGGGTACAACTTGGACTCCAGCTTCGATGGCAGCTTGTCTGGCAGCAACCTGGACGTACGGTATATGCCCAACTTCCATCGGCTGCGAAATAACCTGCTCCAAATGAAAAGAGCCCTAATCTTCTTTAAAGATCTCATTTTTGACTTATTTTCTTCAGACGTACTATTAAGAATGGCACACGAAAAGTTTTTTTTCAATTTTTGATATCTCTTTCCCTTTAGGAACTTCAAAAACGTATTTTTGAGTGGAATTCTCATGTCAGTGGGATTATTTTTCACAGCAGGAATGATAGATAACTTGCAAAGTGAATAGAAAGATACTTCCTTGCATTGTTACGGTAGCTGTACTGCAGCGAAGAAAAAGTACTTTGCCCTAAGAGGATCAGCATATTGATTTCAAGACTTAAAAGTAGAATTTTCAACTTTTCTCAAAATTTTTGCCGTTCCCACTCTTCTGTACAGCATAAGTGGATTGCGCCACTGAAACTTGGTGTTTTCTTTCTGAGGAAAAGCGTTTTTGCCTCAATATATGATTTGTTCTAATTTAGAATATGAATTTGATTTAGCTGCACACGCTTCAAGTCCATTGAACATGTACTTCTTTACCTTTTACTGTTCTCCTCAAAGATTCTCTTTCCTTTCTATCGTATAGATCCCTCGCCATTTTTAGGTTTCTATAGTTTGGTCTCTGAGAACATAAATACAAAAGATATCCATCTGAACTTATTCAAGAAGAACATAATGTCAACTTCTGTGCTGCATACATAAAACACAACATAAAGATGAATCTAAACTTTGATGCGCACCTAGCGGAAGTGTAGAGAAATGAAGTAGGTACCCTATCCAATATCATTATCATGACTTATAATAACGGGCTAAGGATGTTTACGTGACTTTGTGTGTGTGTTTGTGTGTCTGTTACGAAATTCGTGGAGCGTGTTCCAGCAAACGTCCTGGGCCCAAATTTTGCACAGCACATGCTACCAGCACAAAACTCCACCATGCAAAAGCATGAGCGGATTCGTTGAGTGGACCCCTCAAAAATTGCGCGGCGCCAAACGGGTCTACCTGGCTTCTGTACCGCAAAATACGCTTGGTATCACCTCTTTTTGCAGAGTCGTGGATGAGTTTGGTAAGCAAATGTGCAAGCGATGGAGTTTAGGCAGAAAGGTGGTCGAAAGTTTACTACATAACGAAAACGGCGCCAAAACGAATTGGTTGTGTAAATGGTCAATTTGCCAAGGTTCTAGCTAAGCGTTTGAGGAAATTTCCGCACAGAGATGTAGCTCACGGTTATCATTACCTTTATGGCGACTACCAAGTCATGACAAATCCAAAAACCTACTCAAATTTGCGTTTTTCTTCCTGCGAAAAGTTTCATCCACGCGAAATCACCGATCTCACGTGAAAAGACTTTCTAAATGAGTGTTGTTTACATTTTATTCGTGGTAGTCGGCATAGCGCGGTGAGTTCCAATGCCACGATTTTACGAGAATGAGTAAGGCACATAGATAGTAGAGCCAGTGCGAACCTCTGCGAAGCAGAGGTGATGAACTGGTGATGAATATGATGATAGATTGGAATCGCCGAGGAAGTTGATCTCACCGTACGACTGCAGCAAAAAGCTATTCTAAGGTTGTGGGGAAGAGCGGACTCTGTAATTAAGGTTTTAGATATTCTCCGTAATAGTAAGTTTGAAGAAAATACTTTGTACGGACTAATATTTACGCCACTGATATATATATATATATCTATGAATAAACTGCAGTAGTACAGATAGTCTAGGTTAGGTTTATACCTATAAAATACTTCAATGTGTTTATCTTGCCATGAATGGCATCTATAGAGGGTAGAGGAAGTGTCAAGGACGTAATTTCTTACACGAATACTTCACTGGGCCGCTAGTATTTACAAAATAGTCGAAAACATAGTTTTTATACTAGGTTAGGGCTCTGTTTGTTTGGAGCAGGTTATTTCGCAGCCGATGGAAGTTGGGCATATACCGTACGTGAGCAACCTGCGGTAGATTTCTTTAGACTTTGCAACTCTGGAAGACTCATGTTGCTTATTTCTTACCTTGTCACCCATTCGTGCCATGACGTCAGCGCTGGGTCCAATGAAAGTGATGCCAGCGTCGAAGCAAGCCCTGGCAAAGTCCGAACGCTCGGAAAGGAAACCGTAGCCAGGATGGATGGCATCAACATCGTGCTGAAAAGAAATTGAGATACATCGCAAAATTTTTGGAAGTCCGAAAACCAACTTTGAGAGCGGTGTCGATAATCTGATCAATGGCTAGATAGGCAGCCACAGGTGGAAGTCCTTTACCAATCATGTAGGCCTCATCGGCCTTCAGTCGATGAAGCGAGTGTTTGTCCTGAACAAATTTTATAGCTTAGCGCAAAGCCTCATATCTGGATCTGCCCCAAAATCTTGCAAATATTAATTCCAAAATAAACTTCCGCAAATTGTAAAAAGATGTGGCTTGCTGTACTTCAGTAAAAGAGCGAACTTTTTATAAATAATATTACACATTTGTAGGGTGGTTCGCTAAGTCTGAATAATTGAAGTACAAATTCAAAGCTTTGGTAAAGTTTTGTAAGCGAGCTTACCTAAGTTGCGGTTTACAGCAACCTCTACGGAATCTTTAGAATCTGGAATCTCTATGTTCTATCTAATCTTATACAAGAACACCGTTGACAAATGAATTTACTACCCTAACTTGAAATATTTTGGCTCCATAATTTTTCTTTACAAATTTCACACTAAACTTCAGAGAACCTACAATCGTCATGTTTCAACGATTCTTCTCGTTTACTATCTAAAAAAATCGCAACTCTCCTGCCTAGAATTGTCCTGGAAATTATCGCTTTTATGTTTGCTGTTTACATGACTTTTTGAATTAATAGTCCTGAAGAAGATAAGACTATCTTTATTGTCAGAGACCTGTCACACAGAATAACTGGAGAAAAGAACTGCCACGAAAAACCTTACCTGCTCACTGTAGATGGCCACCGATGTCATATTCAGTTCATTGAGGGCACGGAAAACTCGGATGGAAATCTCTCCTCGATTCGCTACCATTACCTAAATTTATCAGAAAATATATATGGAAAGGAACTTTTCATTGCCCAGCTGTTTCACCTAGATACTCTTTCCATTTGTGTATAGTGCTGGAGCATCATTCATTTGTTTTTAGTAATGAGCAAGTTTAACTACAATGTCTAGAAAAAGCAATTCGTTATTTTTGAAATAAAAGCATTGCCAAATTAATTTTTTTTTTCATTTAATTTATATTCAATCGCTCTCACACGTTTAGGGTCAATAAACTTTCTTTTCGAAGAATTTCTTTTTGACATCAGAGAAGTGCGGCTTTTGCAGTCGAAAGTTTTAGTACCCAAGAATTTTCCAAACAAATCAAAGTATATATGCAAGCTACAAAAATTTTCGTGAGGGAACGCCAGGAATAATGATGCTGTTCTAGTCAGATCTGATGTTCGGAAGTTATCTACGTTGAGACGCGTTGTAGATCACTTCTTCCATCTGCAGAAATTGTCCAGTAACCATTCCAAGAATAATCCCTGAGTTTCACAGTTTACATAAATTTATGAATTTTAGAATTTCTTATAAATTTGAAAACTGAAGCTCACTTAATGGCGGACATTGGTATTTTAGTGATAATTTTGCCGAACTTTTCTCTTTTTCCTAAAGTAAAACTTTTTAAACATCTCAATCGTGGGAGCAGCTGAGTGCAGAGGATATATCAAACACCGCTTTTTGCTGCAAGCTAAAAAATAATTGCAGATTGTGCAAAAATATCTTCTCACTTTGCAATCTTGATTTTTTGAAATTATATTTCCATTGTTTTTTTGTGTTCGCGCAAATTTCATGAAAGTTGAAGAACAAAAATCGCTTCAAAACTCTCAGAACTCTTAAACTCAATCTTTGCAGAAGTTGTGTACACATATATTTGACGTCGGGGCAACACGAAATTTTTATCTTCGAAAATATGTTCTTGATTTTATAAAATCTTATGGTAAACTGATTCAATCACCACATTGGAATGGTCATCACCTTTTAACATCGCAAATATTTCTTGTGGTCATTCATACCTCTGGCACTAACTGCTAGTTCTAGCTCCATGCTTTGTTCCTGTTCTCTCGAAACCGAGCAATTTTTATAGCAAATTTATTTATCCTGTGCTCTATTTTTTGCAAATAGCTCTTTAAGGTTTTCTTCATATTCGAGTCATTGAGACACCGACAGACAGAGATATCGTAACTTCTAAAAAATTTACCTTCTTGAACTCCTTTGTCGGTGCGACGGCATATGCCCGCCGCGGCTGGAAGGTCACCCGCCTCAGCAGAGTCGACGCGCGCAACAGCCGCATCTGTAAGCGAAACAAATTTGAATGAAGTATAAACTGAAGATTACAATGAAAGCCGGGGAACCCCAGCGAGTGCAAGCACGTGAGAAGTATAAGTGTGCAACTGTCTACTCAATCTGTATCAGCAGAATAGCTTCACTCATTTGACAAAAAAAATGTAAGAGCAACGAAATAGCCGTCGATAAAACCGTTATCAATATTTCTACTTTTCGTAGTAATACAGATGAAACACAAAAGCTTTTTTCCGATTTAAGAACTAATTAACTTCAAGGACTAATGCATAAAAATGTTGCAAACATATAACGCATCGAAATTATCACGATAAAAGTTTTTTTTTGGTAAGGCAAATTTTCTGGCGAAAACTTCCAAGCAGGGCTCGGCATGAGGTGGCTTACAAGCAAGCTGGATATCGTTTTTGGGACGAAAAGCAAAGGGGGTTTCGTTTTTGTGACCGACGAGACACGGAAAATTGGCGACGGCGACCTTTTTTTTAGTCGACGTTTCGTTTTTTGGGGGATTTTGGGGAATTTTTCAGGTTTTTAGAGGAAATTTGGTTGAGGGTCAAAGGGGACTTCGTAAAAATTCCCAAAAGTCAAGAGGGACTTCGTTTTTTCCATTTTCATCTAGCCACCTCGTGCCGAGCCCTGCTTCCAAGTTTAATGAACCTGGAAGCGTGCTTTTCATGCGAATTATGATAGTACTAAACTGCAAGGTAATATGGATTTCTCAAACTATTTGCTTGAGTCAAAATGTCATTTTCTTCATATGTCAAAATTTTATGTTTTCTATTTCATAGAAGCTCATGTAGATCCACCAAAGAAAGAGATTTCCTTTGTTCCTCACACGTAAGCAACAAAAAGGTCAAATGAAACACTCAAAATTTGGGTGAGATCAATGATTAAGTAGTAAGTAAAGTTTTTGTTCGAAAGCTTGAATTTTAAAATGATCTAAGACGTTGGTCACATTTTATTTTAGAACTGTGTTCATAAAATTGAAATAATCACATATATGATCATTTCTAAACGAAGAGCATAATTGGTCAGTAACATTAGCTTCAGTAGCACTACTGTTCTAGACATATCACTCAGGAAGGCAAAGATAACGTCCCACAATAAATCTCAAAAACTCTCTGACATTGGTCTTCACAAAAATCACCAATCAAAATTCGGAAAATCCATCACAACCAAGATCAGAAATACAACTTACTTTGTTTTTGTATCAGGGTAAGGTCGATAATAGTAGCGTAGTAGTATGTTTGACTAATTAAAATCTCTTAAATACTGTGGATCTCTGGCCAGGTCGCCGAGGTCAACTTCGGCACTTCAAATAAATTGCCTACAGGAAATTGCGTCTATTCGATATGTGATACTATGATACCAAGGTGAGATCAAGTTTCGAATGTGTGCAGAGCTACATTCTTACCACCTCTCATCCCTCTTGTCGAAGTAGAGAGGAAAAAGAATTTTGAGGCGCACTTCAGGTCACTGCGAAATTGTGCAAGTGTTCTTAGTTGCATAATTGTCTGAAGTTGTAATTTATGTAGACCTGTTTCTTTGTGAAGATTTTTGAAAAACGAAACCTGTGGCCGTATTCATCATTGATACCTTGAATTCTACCTCCAGGTAGTTTTATCACTCATTATCAGCAAAATTACATTGAGAACTTACCTCAGGGTACTTTTGTAATACGGGTACTTGCTGATAATGAGTGATAAACCTACCTGGAGGTAGAATTTACCTCAAGGTATCAATGATGAATACGGCCACTGGTAGCTGACACATTGCAAGCGAAAGAGTCCAAATTGAGTTCAAAAAACACAGAACTCTACAAACGTATAAAATAGGGTAAGCCTTGCAACATCACCCGGATAAGCTATGTGGGAAAGAAGAATAAAACTGCAACCCATTCCATTTGTCATTTTGAGAAGCCTAATTCTTTTATGGGGCTCAAAAAATGAAAAGTCCTTTGAAGGTTCATTCAGTAGTGATCTCGATTACTTTGGGAGACTGATCAAATCAAGCGGAAAGAGAAGTCCTATATATAGGATGAACTCATGAGTCTTTTTTTCCGAAGCCTTCTCATAGCTTTTCGGTGATCTAACCAGTGTACATGGAAACATTTCTGTGACCAAAAAATCTATGTCTTAAGGAATCTCACAAGTAGTACTTGACTAGAAGAATTCCTATGAAATTTGATCAGGAAACAAGAGATGTGCTGTAATAGATTATATCCGATGACCATTCTTTCATCTTTAAATTTTTTCGCCAGTTTCGATTTAAGTCCCAAGTTTCCAATTTAATACATCTAAGTAGTAGTTGGTAGTACATTATTTTTCTTCCGAAAGTTAAGCAATTCACTACAAGTTTTGATAATCCTGGTGTGATGAGCAGATGAAAAAGCAATAATTGGCTCGTCAAACAGCTTTTATACAGCTACTAACAGCATCAATCGATCATTGCTAAACTATAAAACTTACATTGATAGGTCACTCTGGAATCAGAATGGTGCACTGAACACTCAAAAGTGCAACTGAAGGCACGCTGATAGTACATGGATTTTTGGATCATTCGCACTGTCACGTGGGACAATCGCAGAACAACATATTACAATATGAAAACAAAACTAATAGCCACAAGTCTTCAATATGTGAGCGCAAGATTGCCAATCTTAGTAAAATTTCACTAATGACAACAAAACGTTTTGTTTGATCGCACTTGCTGTCAAAAGAACCCTTACATATGAACTTGCGACTATGAGCAAAAACGGTTAGCGTATTGCGCGACACCAGCAGTAGAGCACGAATGAAATTTTGAATCAGATTTGCGCAAAAAAAAAGATAAAAGTTATAATGAACTCCAGCATTGTAATCAGCTTTTGCATGACCTTCTTGTTCTGGCTGAAAATTCATCTCGAATCTCTCTAGAAACTTCGAACACTTTAGTTTGAGCCTTTGCAAAACTTTCCATCATGACATACAGTACGAAATGTATTACATATCGTAGATGTTCAATAATGTATATTAAGTTGCTCCGAAATTTTTGTGGCTCCATCAAAAAATCGTAACTTCTTATTGTCACGAAAATATCACACGGCATTGATATTGCTAGAAAGACTGTATGTCATGTATTAATGTGATAATCTGTTTACACTATACTAAGCTGATTGCAGGAATAAAAAAAGTTCATGACCAAAGTTTCTACTGATAGGCCCTAAAAAATTTAAATTTTCAACGACAATGCCGAAAACCAATTTTCCTGTCTCGAAAACTATAGCTTTCCAAAAAAGCTCGATCAGTATAAGCTTTACTCACTTGAAAAAAAGGGGTCAGAAAGTCATGTTATTGGTCGTTATGGATTTTATTGCACAGTTTTTAAATTTTTGGAGGGCTTGCTTAAAATCATCTTCAAGTGATCTCCTGTTTCCAATTCTATCTCAGCAATCAGAGCTTAACAGAGAAAAAGCAGAGTTTCTCTTAGATAGTAGATGATTTGCTCTTTCTGATAGTTCCAAAGTAGTGAGATTAACATGACGGGAAGAAATCACGAATTTTTGAAAACGGTGCGACAGAACTTTCGCACCGTTTTCAAAACGTTTTTCGCACCAACTCAATATTAAGAATAAGGTTCTTTGGACAACTTGGTTTCTCAGAATTTCGGGGTAATACTTTCGTTCGGTACTTTCAGTATCTAAGTTTCGAAAGGTGGAACTGCAGCACATCTTGTTTTGGTAGAACATTTAGAGTTTTATCCATTGCATACTTGTACTTTTGCGCTGAAGATTAATGGCAAGTATTCGTAATGGATGGATCACGATCTTCAGGAATTGCTACCTAGAATTTGAATATCCCGGATATCATAAATTTATATAACGTAAATTGACTGTTCAACAGTCAATGCAATTTTTTTCTGGCTTAGAAGAAGGTCGATTAGAAAAAACCTAGCAAAGGTAATAATCCGTTTAGTTTATTGTCTTTCATGTTATCTGGCTATGAATTCCATTGCGGCCATAAGTTCAGAGCCTGTCACGTGAGAATGTTTTCCCTCAAGATCTGACCGCCAATCTCACGTTTACTACTATAAATGGGCGTTATCATGATGGTTTACTAGTCATAACTTTTTTGTAAATTTTTATATGTGGGGGTTTACTAGCAAAAGTCACAAATCGCTATCATGAGGTGGATGAATTTTCACGTTTCGCTTCGCAAATTATCATCCGTTTTGAAACTATAATATTAGGGAACGTTCCTGTAGCTACGTTTTTTCCTTCTGTTCTAAGTAGCTGATCTTTGAAATGCGTTGAAGCACTATGCATTTGCTAATCAGTTTACAAAGGAAGGATACTTGGTTGAGGGGGAGTTTCCCTAGAAAGTGTACTTCTTTCATAGAGCATGGAACACTGACTCCAAATCTGCTGATATCTGCAAAGCTCTTGTGGGACGGGAGTGGTGGGAATTTGATAAGGCAACAATTTAAGGGTTTGGCTAAGGATAAAACAGGTGTTGAGGTTTTCTTGGCGCTTGAGGGGAGTAATGGCTAACAAAGTATATTAGACTGAAGATGATAGCTGCTCGCATCATCTTGGCGGTAATAATGATCTCCATTTGAGTTCACATACAGTTCTGAATGGTTACATTGTAGCCGCGTCTGAATTTTTGCAGCAGAATCCCATAATTCCTCTCCCAGAGGCGCTTTTCAGGTACCAAAAGAATATTTGGAATCAACGTTCGAGGGGGGAGGGGTGTGGAGACAAAGTGGTGGCAGCCACTCCCCGAAAGAATTCTTTTACGAACCTGATCTGATTTTTCAAAAAATTCCAAAATCGTAAATTTTTACAAGCATAAACAAGTCACTTGCACACTTTATCACTCATGTAAACAATTTTCAAATTTTTGTCTGTTCTTGAGGTTTGGACAATAATATTAGTGGAACAACATTTTAATTGAACATGTTTCTTTGTCGGGTAGCAAACGGAAAATCAAATCAGGAACTCACGATTCTAAAGAAACACAAGGAGATGTATGCATAAAAAATTTAGTCTTGCACAGAGAGCTCGGGCACAGTTTTCGATAATGGGCTAATTGCTTGTTTACAGCATTGGCTAGGATGCTTTCTGCTTTGTGTATAATTGGAGAATCGAAAAGTAAGCAAAATAATGTGCATTTGGTTATGAAGGATGGAAGAATTCGGCTCAGGTGAAATGGTACTTATAAGCTAAGATGGACCAATGATGTTTAACAGTTAGGTTTCACACATCTCTTTTTCTTTTTTGGGGGAGCAGTCCCACGTGTGACCTTTTTTCTGCGCAAGAATCTTACGAAACGTGTACTGTATGGGAATTGGAGGTTTGTAAATTCCATAAAAGTACAGAAAGGCTCAGACTTGACATGCGTATACAACACATTACTCATGCTCAAAAGCCGTACGAAAAACCCAAAGTATTGACGGGTTGCCAATTTGCGCTGTTGATGGAGTGCCAATTACAATTAAGCTCATTTTGAAGCCACTTTATGTCACTGCACTACTTTTATCTGCACTGGAAAGTCGATGGTTTCAATATATACATCCTTTACGTTTTTATGCTTCTTTTCCTCATAATGTTTCTTTAATCATAATAGTAATTACACCACGACTTCGCTGCAGATTCTGAGAGTAGTGCAATTTCACAAAGTGGATGCGGAACTGAGGATGACTGTCCGAGTTTAGCACTCTGTACTCTTCTAATTTTTTTGTTAACAATACATCCTCCTACATTTATGTGATAACGAAGCAAACGTGATGGATCACAATACGCTCTTGTCTCTCAAGGTCAATAACACAGCTCTTATCACTAAACACTTCCTTACTGGAAGTCATTGGCAGATCTGACCACACAGCAATAAAAGCTGGTTCAACTGATAGCAAAAGCCGAAAAGCGTTCGCGTAAACAACGAAAAAGTTGAGTTTAAAAAAGATGATCGGGCATAAAATCAAAGAGAAGAGGTGTTTCGATAACGCATAATGACTGCAAATCTCAAAAGAAAAGGAACTGATATAGATAAGAGGCTAAGAACTGGGGATTCCCTCTATAGTTATTTTATACATTCCGTTTTGGGAGACGTGACTTATCTAGTCACAGTTTGTGTTCAAAATGATTCGCAGGCTTCTTATTAGGTTGAAGCTCAGCTTATGCAACTTTCATGCTGATCGAAAAACGGGTTGAAAGTTGTGTAAATCAGCACGCCTGAAAACTTTGCTATACAAATTTTCAGTTTTTTTTCGAAAATATTTATCAAAAGACCTATTCCACAGTGACGCTGTATGCTGAAAGTTCATACCGTAATTCTACAGTAAAGAGGAGTGACTGGTGACTCGTTTCATACTGTAAATGTAAGCAAAAGACATGAAAGCAAGAGAATTACTAACGATAAAACAGTGTTCACATCTTTTTATGACACTCTATAAATTAGGTTGAAGTTTGCTCGAGGGGCTGACATTATAGCGTACCCATGAAACCTCTAATTTCACCAATCTTCGGCAAACGCGTGGAATCTTTCTGTGTAGTAATAAAAAATCAGAATTTTTTGTGCAGATCTGCAGCTCGGCTCATAATTTTCGCAATGCCAAAATGTATATGCACCACATTCGAAAGAGGGAAGTGATCAAAAAAAGTTGCGAAACTTATTTGTCAATCGTATACTTTGTATTTCATAAAGAATGTGCGTTTTTGTGTGATCCGCTAGATTTTATGCTGCCAAACCAAATTGATGAAAGTTTTACATTCTAGTCTGAATGAAGACCACGGCGAGCTCGAGTTGGGCTGTTTATTTTCAGAAAACCTGTATCAAAACAAAATTCGCGCGTGTATGAGCGAACACCGAATATTCACTACTGATGAAGCCCACTGCGTACGACTCGAGAAAGCGAAAAACAGTACGAAAATCTCATTTTCCACAATCACTCACGATGTTGCGTCTAGTATGAATTCTTGTAAGATAGGACGCGAACGGACGCTCTCCTAAACTTGGCCATCAGTTTACTCTCTACATCTCTATTGTCTTGGCTAGAAACCAAATTTCATGCACACATGGGGGTACGGATAAATACGTACTTATTACTAGGATAGGAGTGATTGTGATAATGGATGGTTTAACTCATCCAGTCATGAATTTAACGCACCGTTTTCCCAGTTTGTGGTTGGTGGAATTTGATGCAGTATACAATAGCGAGGCCCCTAACTAGCAAGTCATTACGCAAGTCCCGTTGAAGAGGTGCATCCCGAAGCAAGAAAATCGCTCTAGAAGATGAATGCTGTTGGGGTCGACACGCCCATCCTGGATGGTCTAAGGATAGTATAGCCGAAATTGGACTCAACTTTACCTAGCGTCGAGAATTTTTACTTTCATTGTGACACTCTCCGACATGTACTCTGAAGCGCAACATCGAGCTCGTTATTTGTAGACCACCCACGTCGATGGGCGTGGCGACCTCAGCATCTACCTTCCACACTGATTTTTCGCTCCAAGGTGCATCTT